TGTGAACTCTCTTGAGCAGATAGTATTCTTTCTACAAAACTAAATACTGAATACTGTCTGTAAGCCCATTCTTAAGGTATGGATGGCTTATTAACATGAGAGTATCACGGCATACCAATTATGATCCCGTCCTTACTTTTTCCGATCAAGAGAAATGCTCCAATGTGCCATGAATCAAGTGTTTCCATCCACATACTGTTACACCACTTCAAGAAGCGAACTCATTCATCCGGCCTCCAGCAGAGTACACCTGTTTGAAGCCTGGCTAGCCTTCTGAAACCCTAACCTACAATAAAGAACTGACAGAAAGGTCTAAGGGCATCCCACAAAGGAAAGGCAACACCCCTGCCCCTCTGCCTGGGAAACAATAGCCAAACTGCTAAACATTTTTACACTGGTAGAGCCTGGACTATTGCATCAACAGATCTCTCGTGCAGTAGTCACACCAGTCCATAAATAGGCAGACAGACATCATAGAGTCAACATTACACATTCATAAAGGCATTTATTTAGCTGTGCAGATGTAAACATTTATTCTATAGTACGTGCATGTTGTGAAAAATTGTAATCCAGCGGCGGTTCGCATGCAGGGTAATGCAAAAGTGATTAATTCCCTTGCTTTGGGGAAACATAACCCAATTTGTAACTCTTAGCTGGAAGTCAAAAACAACAGCGTATTTTTCCTCGGATCAGGGGTCAAGCGGAGTACAAAGCACATCGCAATCAAACATGAATCTAAATGAGAGGAATTACCGCTCTGCATCATTTATTCATTCAAAATGGAAAAAAAGGGGAAAAGAATGGACACTTGTGCTGCATATAATTCCTGGAAATGCATTCACGACAGGCACAGTCCGCATATAATAGCCTCGGATGCAGTGCGAATACATCAACTCGGCCAATTTGACATGATGTGTAAAATTGTAATCTTTCAGTGACCCTCGTGACTACTGAAATTTGCTTTCTGTATCCGCAAAGGTGAAAAGGGGAGAGCGTGAGTGACCTGACCGTGGTCTAAACATTGCTTTTATTCAGAACCCTGCAGCAAATACTTGGTTAATCACGGAGTGCATTCCCCTGGTTTAAGAGCAGCTCCACAACATTTATATTCATAGGCCTATACTATTCATGAGCGGCTGTTTGGCACTGTTGACTCGAGAACTGACCGTTTCAGACCCGGGCAACTTCGCCGGCCAACGCTATATGCGCTCTCATTAACCCAATTCCCTCACCAAATACAGCATGAGAAACACCATCACGAATCGATATGTTTTTGATATAGTGGGAATTCATGCCACACAGAATTACCCAATAATTATATGTAGTATGAGTAGGATAGTTATGCTAAGTGAAAGAATATTTAATTTAGAACAGTTAAAAAATGTAAAAATAAATGTGTCTATTTGATAAGCAAATACAAATATTTACAAAAGAGAAGGAGAGGGAAATCTGAAGATATCTAATGTTATGTTGAACTAAAGCTAAAGAAGCCTAAATATTGTGGACAGATTGATGTATAATGATAATGAGGTATACGTCAGAGCATTCATGTAGTTGCAAACCTTCATTGGATAGTGAGTCCCATTCATTTAAATAGGGGGAGACGTTATACAGGTGACGGAGTTCGGGAAATGTCAGAGGGCCACACAGAAATGTGAATCGGGCCGTATGTGACCCCTGGGCCAGACTTTGCCCTGGTTTGCTATAGACTCTTTACATGCAAAGTGATATATGTGGGAGGGTTTCACAAGCTGTAAGCCATAATTATTTACATAACATACTACTACATGTCTCTGCGTCTGATCGCTGTTGTGTCCCAAGTCTCCATGGGGAAAAACACACACAAGTGGGACTATTAACTGAGGTCGCATAATATAATATAATGACATGATATTTGTATTAGTTTCACATTGTAAGTTTGATTACAGAAGTACCAGAAAATGAACTTTGGAACGATATTTACATTTTGCTGAGTGCTGAGAGACTCAAACAGAGCAGTTGGCCTAATTACAAACAGAGATAAAACAAGAGCAGAGATGCATAAATGTATTAATTTTTCTCTTTAAAACTTATCAATTTCCTCCAACAACTTCACTTCAACAAAACATCACATACTTAGTGTGAACAAGATTAATCCATTATCCAAAATAATTCTTGGTTGCAGCCCTTGTACCCAATAATGCTAGACGTTTTTTATTTTACAATGTATACTGCAGTTGAACAATAGTAGCTATGGGTGCTGTCTGCATATATTTAGAAGAAGTCAATGCTCTGAATCCAGCCCTGCTTCACTTGCAAGAGAATGGATGAGCCAAAATACTATCAAGGTAAACCCATCAGTGCTTCCCAACTGTAATAAGATTTCAAATGGATGAATACAATGTAATAACTGTAATAACTCACAAGTTCGATTACAAATTCACTGAACCTCGGCACCAACTTCTGTATTCTATTACCACCGTCTTGTCATTGTGATTGAAATATGCCTCTGGAGAAGCCTATCCGGTGACAGCGCTTGTTTAAACTATACGACTGTGAGTTTGGAGCCACTCGAGCCTGGCCTGGGGGCGAGGAATTATAGGAGTCATCGGAGGTCTCGCTAACCCCAGGCCTCGGAGTCTACCCAAACCAATTGCCTATTATCTGCGCGGACAGTCTGTTAACTTTTTCACTCGAGCGATGATGGCCTCTGCAATAGGAAACTTCCCCCTCATCTCATCTCATCTCATCAGCAAATGCAAAGTAGTGCAAGGGTTTCGGTATCGATAAAAATGCATCTTTGTCTAATTCTTTCTTCATTTAACTCAAGTCAAAACATCTATCTGCTTCCCTCAATCCATGACGTCTACTGTATATTATGTAAATGGCATGTCTGAATAGCGTTAAGTCCAATAGATAGACGACTGTTGTTATTTTTGCCATGTCCTCGTAGCTAAGGACGTTAATTCCCAGGGTTATTATAATTATGTGCAGTCTGAAGAATGCAAAATGTGCCAATGCAGCAGAGTTGAGGTTGGCATCTCAAGGACAGGATCTCAGTAAAGTTAATTTGGGCTTTAGCTCCATGGCTCTGTGTCGGGAATCTAATAAAGAAGGTCCTGCATCTTGATTGTAATGATGTGGGGGCTGGGTTAAGAATTGTTATAATGTATTAAAACAATTCTTTATCCAATCGCACAACAATTTTTTGAAGTGTTTACTATATTGAATACTGGTTTGTGAATTGTTTTTATGGAGTAAGTTGCTTCTCTGTTTGAGTCAGAAAAGCACTCAGAGCCTACATGTGAGTGTATCAAGCAATTAGCAATTAATTTACTACTTAATAACAGTTATCAATAATTTAAAAAACCTAATCTAGGCCATTAATAACAATTACTTGGATGATTTTTATGAATCGACTAGTTGATTAGATCCTGTTATAGGGGATTTTTTTCTAATTTTGACCAAAACAAAGCTCCAGTAATGCCCCTGGCCTGGAGAAAATATTCAGAGAGACGACTTGTTACACATTGGGTTGTTAGATTGAAAACACATTTTCATGTCATTCTGCAGTCCAAAAAACTCTTCTCAGCATGTTTAAGTAAGTATAAGGTTCCAAAAAGAAATCAATTACTAAATGAGTTGGTCTTGATTATGAACTATTGATATTTAATTGAAACAGCCCAGGATTAATCCATGAATCGTTTTAACTCGATATTGTGAAGCTCTCATGAGAATCTTGCTATGGCGACCTACATAATTAATCTGTCAACAACTATAAGAAATACCCACAACTCAAGTCTTGTGTGCACTTTCCCTCCATTTCTCATCCAAACAAACAGCTCCATACAAGTTTTCCTTGTATTTTAATCCACTACTGTATTCAAACAATACGTCTGCGGGTCTTACAAAAGGAGGAGGGGGTCTGTCTGGGGAGCGGGCTGACTTCCTGATCACAAAAAAGCCCCAGCCAACGAAGGGGAAGTGCAACCTCAGTAAATAGTGTGTGTTTTTTCCCATGGAGACTTGGGACACAACAGTGATCAGACGCTGAGACATGTAGTAGCAGCCACCTCAGCTACCCCACTGACCTTTTGGGGGGGGAAACCATTTTGGATCCGATCAGCCGTAGAGGAGCTGGAGCACAAGGATGGAGCAACAGGTGAGCTTGCCCAAGGGTAGTCTTGAAACAATGGGTGCATTATTCTGAAGTTTAAGCGTAGTGCACAAACATCAACGTGACTTTCTCCCCACTTAAGCCATCAGCAAATCAAAAATAGGAGGATATGAGGACAGCACCTGCATGGGGAAGGCTACAAAGCATAGCTGCAGGGTCCCACGTAAAAAGGGGAGGTCAGTTCCCATGGTGCATAATAGCGGTGTAATGTGTTATATGGGAGGACTTACCTGTTGCGTCTGCTTAGATCTGATACAGGCTCAAAGATGAGACCACACAGGCACAAGGAGACCAGGTGCCCCCTTTTAGCCCCGTTCCATATAGGATCAAGTGCTGTTGTGGGTTGTATAGAGTAATGTATACCCATGCACAGGTGAAAGAGCAAAGCATCACAAGTCAACAGCACTGCTCTCAGGGCCTATAATTAACTGTGGTGGGAATATTGGGAGCAGAAATACAGGAACACTTTCAATGCACAGAGAAGGTCGGCAGGGACACACACTTCCTCCGTAGCCGCAAACGGGAGGGTCACTTTTAAGATCCCCCAGCCCCCTCCACGCCCAAATAAAGAGATAAGCATTGTGTGGACAAACAATGGGCCACTTTCAAAGTCTGCAAAAAGCTGCCATTTTCACATCCAAGGCCAGTATTTGAAGTGGGGCAATAAACAACTTTACAATTGGATACAAAAAGACAGCCTCAATGGGAAGTTTTGTAGTTATGTTAATTGACTGTATAACCACAATAAAGCAGGGGACAGTTCATGCAAAACGAATACGGGTCAAGTCGAGGAACTTTTAAATGTAATGCCATGGTGGTGGATGGTTCTAAACTTGAAGCTAACCTTGAGTGAGCTGTGGTGGAGCTCGGAGACCTTCCTCTGACATGGTTGACACAGAGCAGCCTTCTCCTCTGTCTCCTCTGAGATGGGGATGGAGCCTGCACCCTCCGGAGCGGGCCGGCTGCAGCAGTGGGCCTCCTCCGCAGAATGAAGCCTTTTCCTGGGTGTCACGTCTCCACTGGCCATGGGCACGACACTGGGACAGCCCTCCACCTGAAACACACCAAGCACATGTCCTTAGAGCTGTCGTCTTTGATCGTTAGTCGGTTAATCGATCGAGGATTTTTTTGTGGACCAAAAATGGCATCAGTTGACAAATTGCTTTTTATGTTACAAGGATTTCTATAGGCACAACTCTGAAGCCATGGTGCAACAAGTTCATTGATTAATCACAACTAATTGATTATTGAAATAGATATCAACTAATTAAACAACAACTGAACAACTAAAAAATCCCATTCCCGATGACCTTTCATGCTCTGAACAACTAATTAAAAGGAAAATTTGCCAAATAATTGGTGATCCAACAAGAGCGGCTGAAATCAAAGCAAAGTTGTTGAGCAAGTTTAATGACTTGTACATTTGATTAATCATATATTTGTCCATTTTATATGTGTCCATTTATGTCCTAAAAGCTGTCTTGCTATAACACGAACGGCATCATATCTGGTCTGTCCAATGTAACTGCTGTGTCCATATCACATAAAGTAATCAATACAAATTTTGAATGTGTGTAGTGTATGTTTGAAATGAATACATGCAAATCAAAAGATGCTGGTATTATTCGGATTTTCAAACCAGATCAAACTAAAAATAATTATATAAATAAATTAAATAATATTTTTTTTTCTTAGGCACCTTTCTAGACACTCAAGGTCGCCTTAAATATGAGTGCATTTAAAAACAGTTAAAATATAAGTTAAAATACAGTTAAAAGCAACATGATCAGAGGATTGTGGCGTAAGTGACTAGGCTTATCTAAACAAATGAGTTTTGAGGTTGGTTTTGAAGTGTAATCAATAGCTTATACATAGTTTGCGTTTTTTTAGTCTTTTTAGGTCAGATACACAATACGTAGTTCTGAAAGCGTTTGATACACCCCTTTTAGTCGAATAACAGATCAATTACTCTTTAATTGATCAAGAATTCCTTTGGTCAGTCACAGTCCAACTTGTCCAGACCACTTTTTAAACACAACACCAGCACACGTGCGCGCTAAAGTCCAAAGGAAACTTTTGTGTTGCTTAAACACCTGTTCTGTCTTACACCGCGAGGATACAGTACTCAAACACAACTCATGGAGCCAAAAGAAAGAAGAAATCCAGAAGAAAACATATAGTGATAAACTTACAGTGAAGCCCCGCTCTGCGCTCCCCTGTCCATCAGCCCCTGACCAGCCCGGAGCTGAGATCATTCTCCTGAAGAACACTCACAAGTCTGGGGTAAGCCGCTTTAACCCGCGGACCGCAGCCATAGGCGAGACTGGCTCTGTCCGCCTGAGACACTCATCTGGCGGGGTGTGCAGAGCGAGCACAGGGGAGCTACGGGACGGTCCTAGGTTTACGAGGCTCAGCAGGACCATACAGCAGGACACAGCAGGAGGGAGGCGGTGTCTGAAGAGGAGGAGGAGGAGGAGGAGGAGGAGGAGGAGGACTTGAGCTGAGGCTGACCCGGGGCAGGCAGCAGGCAGCAGGGAGAGCAAGTCAACAGCACTTTTGTTTTATTTTTACTGTTCAAAGCTAACCATGTCCCTAAATACTGGCTCAAAAGTGTCTTAGCTTCAGGTGATCCGGATTTGCTTTCTTAATAAATCTTCATTAAATCGAATCAAACTTTTTTTTTATTTTTTTATAAATAGCCTACTCGATGTTTGTCCCAATAGAAAGAGTATTGTAACATTTTGTGGAAAATGCAGACCAATATGCTGTCTTAAATATATTAGAAATCACAATTTGCATACTTGTAACAACGAGCCCTATGAGTCACTATTTGACGCTTTGGGCGGATTGGGCGGATTGGCGGCTTGATCTGCTCTTTTTTCTTTTTATGTCTGAAATGGTGACCAAAATGAGACCAAAAAACAGAAGTTAGAGTATTAAACAGTCTGCATGTAAAAGCTATAGTGAAAGACCCAAACTGCAAGAATTAGTAAGATTATTATTATTATTTCTTTAAATTAGGCCTTGAAAGAGAAATGATCATTCACACCGCAACAATCTGATGCTCAACTGTGCTTTTGTGCCTGGGCTGTAAAAACACGTTTCCATCAACAGCTCTCCTTCTGCTGCTCTTCACTGGACTGAGATTTCAGAAAGACCACGTTCCCGTTTATAGACGTGGTCCTGCGCTACTCTGGCGCCATCATCTGACCAAAGCGGGCAATAGCAGCAGTTGTAAAGGGGAGTGGGGCACTCTGCAGTTAAATATTAATTTGGTAAACTTTAAATATTTCATATGGATGATGTAAGCCACAAAGGCCACATGCAACAACGCTTTTGCTCTGAAAATGGTTCTCTTGTTGCCCTGAAAGGAACTATGGGATTTCAGTCCCAGCGTCATAAACATAACCTTTTTATACACATTATGAACATGTACAATATAGTATTATTAATTCTTAAAAGTAGCTATCTTTTAGATTATGTATACACTATACAATATCACTATTTTGTGTTTGCTTTCTTATTGTGAAAAAATCAAATAGTGTTTCCTTATTAACATATAGCCATTTATATTTTGCGCAGCAGTTATAGTTTCAAAGTGTTGCCATTTCCCCAAACATGTGTCTCAAAATGTGTTGTACAGATGTTGCCTGAGCTGGGACACTGTTGCAGGTCCTGTATCCCGGACACGCGCGCTCCTCTTTACGCGCCGATTACGCGCAAACATGATCTCACCAGTATCCTTCGTGACCACACTGCTTACCTTTGTTTTTCTCTTGAGCAGATGACTTGTGAAGCCAAAGATAATATCGGAGTCCACGATGATAGTGCCCAGGTCTATGACGCCTGGGTTCGGCTTCCCAGCTCCGCCAGACCCCGGTGAGTTTGGGGAAGCCATGTGAGCAGCGCGCGTTCCTCACAAAATAATCCTCTCTTTAGGAAACAAACAGCTGGAGTCTTACATCCATGCAACAGGACTTTACATCTCACATTCCCTCCAACAAGTACATCCACGCAGTTTAAGCCGTACATCCAGCCGTCACTTGGCCGTGCGCGCGTACACTTGTGCGTAAAACATCGCCGCTCCGGTCAGAACACAATAACGCGGTATTAAATCCATTCAGGCGACTTTACATCCACGTGTGCAGGCTCCCCTCCGGGATGCAGGACTGGGCTCTGTGTGAGCACCTGCGCATCTGCCTCTCCTCTAGTCTCTGCTCCTCTCCATCACTCCCTCTCTCACTGATGACCTGCGCGCCCTCCCCATTTGCTGGTGGCTGTACTTGTCAGCGCCACACGTTCAACACAATGACAACCTGCAGCTACATGCATCAGTCTCCTCCATTCTCCCTGTGTGGCTTTATACATGTACTGTGTGTCCAAAGTAAATGTATTGACCTATATTATATCATTCCCTGTGGCACACACCGTCACATTATAACATAATTGGCAAAAAAGTGGTTTAAATGGTTAAAAAAAGGCTCTAGAGGGAGAACCTTATGGAACTGCACAATCCTTACATGTCATTATTGCTCATATTTTATTTTTGCAAGGTGGGGATATGAGGCCTTTATTATTCTTCATAAACATGTTGCACACAACCAATTAAGCTATATGATTATATTAGTTTATTTTCTATGGGTACTCCTGTATGAGTGAGAAATGTTCAAGGTGTTTCCATTGCATATCTTATGAATAATGCAAGTCTGAAATCCAGTAAGAAGATGGCTAATCGATATACAATGAATAGGCATCATCACCAACAGGCTGGCCCCGCTAAGATGGAAAAAGTGTGACCTCATTATTCATGTTTTGAGACAGACATTTGAGTGAAATTCAATTTATTTATCACATTCTTTCCAATTACGCATCTCTATGAGTACATTGGTAATGGGCTGATATCAGGTATAAGACATTGTGTATTTTTGTTTCATGTGCCTGAAATAAAGATTGATTGAGTGATTGGTTGCATAGAGCTAAAGCCTTTAATTATATATTTGGCCTAATAAACATTCATTTTCCCAGCGCGCTATATTGAGAAGAATCAACACGTGCTGTCGCTGACACGTGCCATATGGGGTGTTACTCGAGTATGTAATGGCCTAAATTTGAGTCATAACCTGCATTTAAGTTTACAATCTTGCATCAGTTATCAAAGACCTAGATCTTATTCAAGAGCTGCCATGGAAGACAAGTCTGCTTTTGGATGTGTAGGTCATATGTAAAGGATGATTTAAGGGTGGAGGAGGTCTGTCTCGGTCTGGCCCTGGTCGCTGATGAAATTCAGTGGACGAGGTCCCCTGGGAGGAGACTGCTACATCTGCTGCCCTTTGCGCACAGGCAGGCGCGCCGCTGAGGGCATCTCATTAAGCCGTGCGCTCTCTCCTCACGTCTCATCCAGCATGCAGGACCAGGGCTTATGGTGAGAAACGTTTAGCAAATATTGATAGTTCTTGGAGATCAAAGAGAGGGAGAAGGAGGAGATCTATGGATGTCTAAAAAAGTGGGCAGCAATCGGGACACTCATGAATGATTCATGCAATACAGGGCAGCCTATTCCTATTCTTACCCGCATCGTGTCGGATTTAGATTTGTCAGGCGTGAAAGTAGAACTGGGGCTGTGCGTGAAACCTTTGTAGAAGTAAACACATTTATGAGCACAAGTCAACAAAAGCAGACCCGTTTCAGAACATTGGACAGCGACCATTACCCTCCCCACACTGCACTGAGACACGGGATTTTTTTTCTTTCACTGGCTTTTAATCAGGGCATTAAGACATTAGGGAAATGGTTACAGAAAGTTGGAATATCATACAAATATGATACAGTTAGTGCAAATAGACAAGACTTAAAACGCATGCATGCATTGAAAATATGAAAAATGTCTATCATAGTCCATCTCCACGTGCGCACGAACTCAACCTACCAGAAGAAAACGTCCAAAGTTGTGACTGTCGCTGGTTGCCCTCAGTGTTGCAGTAGGTAGTATTTGTCTGACAGGTCAAGTGGTCCTAAACATTTCACAATTTTGTTATAGAACTGTTGAACTGTTGAGAACCACTTAATCAGAGAGACCAAAAGTAGGCCAAGTACTTCCGATTCACACTGGCTCCACTGAAGAAAGAAAGCAAGTAAGTTCAAACATTTCAAACGAAAAAGATAAAACATGAAAATCGCCTTCATCCGCGGTGCGTCAGAGCGCGCTTACCTGGAACTCTCCTCTTGAGACCTGAGGCTGCTCTGCTGAAGTCACCCAGGGCCGCAGTGCTGACACCGGGCTGCAGGGAGCTCCTTATATACTGTTTTTGGGCTTGGTTCATACAAGCCTCTCATTGAAAGAGGAATGAGGCCCATGCTGGTTCGACCGGATGAGCTGGGTTCCAAGTGAGGAGCACGAAAGTAGCCGCCCTCTGCACTCACGCACTCACCCGCGCACGCTTTCTTCAGTGCACACACACACACACACACACACACACACACACACACACACACACACACACACACACACACACACACACACACACACACACACACACACACACACACACACACACACCGCAAATGGAGATGTTGATAAGACAATGTGATGTCTCAACGCCTGCCAGGGCATAACATCTGTATTTATTCCAATATTAGTTATTTTGTAGACCAATTGTTAACATGTGACCTTCAAACTAAGGGAAATGTGAACAATCCATGATAAAAATGGACCCATCTTAGTCATATCAAACTTTCACAGATGAACACAGATGAAGCAGGGCCAGTTTGAACTCCAAAATCATGAATAATCAATGTCTATCCATTTCAAATAAAGTTAACAGGGATTTGACATGTATTCCTATTGGAGCTCTTTGTTTTATCAAAGGTCCCTCTAGATCTTATTTTCAGATAAAAGTTTCTCAGTTGTGAAAGATAATTATTTAACCCAACATTTGGTCATTCTGCCGTCTATCAGAGCCAGCCTCCAGACATAAGCTATACCACAGTTTATATTTACCAAGCAACAGGGAGGTGATTTTGGAGTTAGATTTTTCTTTGTGCAGATTGTTCCCACTTATAATTAGAATACATTTGTACTCCAGGACCAATACTACAAGAAATCAGCTTCACAAAGAGTCTAGCCATTTGTTTGTACTCCAATGGATTCTCCACAGTAGTTTCAGATTGTTTTCAGGCCTTTTAGAGAAAATAGAGCAGGGTGGCTGGGGTACACAAAGCCATCAGAAAAGCAGTGGTGCCTTATAATGTGGAGGCTAATGGTCTGATCATTATTCAGAACACAACTTCACTGAACAGCACTGCTCAAGCTAATATAGTTGACCTGCAACAATTGGATGGAGTAATTTATACAGGACACGGTGTCAAAATGAGTATTTCTGTCTGCACAACACAGAATCTGTTGCCTTGAGTTTATGAAGGAGGCCAACAAAAAGTAACCATGGTTTGAAACAGATTTTTTTATTGCTTTTGTCACAGCAGGATAGACATTTTAAAAGATGTCAACCCTTTACAGCAGTCTAGGCATATGTTCTTTGAACTTACAGCATACATACAGTAGCAACATTTATGTGGACATGGACGATGGAAACGCATAGTTAATCAAAAGAACTGCAATTTATATAAAACAGAAAAATCATAGGGTTTTGTCTCTGTGATTCACATGTGAAATGGGGAGAGATATGCGGCTCTTCCAGCTTGACTGTCGTCTCTCAAACTGGTTGGGTCTGAAGGGTAATTGCTGGTTTTTGCCTTACCTGTTTGAGCTACAGGAAATAGTACAACTTAAGCCAAAGTATATTTTGTAAAGAACTATTCATATCCTAAATAAAAACTCAAACCGTGATACAGCATTATAGCAGTCACCGCAATAGGACATCATCAAAATCGCACACCAGAAACAGTGTCAAATGTATATAAACCCTGATTTACCTGGACATTACAATCACAGTTCTTTAAACATTAAAAGCTTTTAAAAAAACACAAAGCAAGTAAAACAACCATTCATTTGTCATATCATATACTGCCTAATACTCGAACAGTACACACATTACGCAGGTTAGTGCTGTGCTTCAGTGACTTTGGACGGAAACCTTTTATGGCTTTAGACATTGTGCGACACATATTCAAAGATGTGAACAGTGCGGTAAAGTTAAAAGGAATATAAAGCCTTTTTAGACACATCAAACACCTTACTTTAAAAATATATGAGAGGCCATTGACAGACACGGCTTTCTCTTCTTTTTTTTTATAAAGTAAAAGAGTTGGAAGATTAGGACAGCAAAGTGGACGGAAATGTAGCATGGTCCAGATGTTTACGGTCCAGATGCGGGGGCAGTGAACTCGATCCCTTTCTAAGACAAAGGAAAAAAAGCCAAGTTACTCACAGCACAAAATAAGAGAAATAAGCTGTAACACGTTTATGATTGGACACAGCAATCACAGGTGCACTCTGCAACATTTACCCGGAGGAATGCGTGGGCAGGGCCACAGCCACAGCCACAATGTCACTAGACTAGATCTCATGAGGCTGGGATGGAAACCAAAGGGATTGAGCAGAGCTAATTTTAAACTTTTAGGTTCCATCTATTACTATTTACTGATCACGTAAAATTACAGTTTGAAATGCAAAGATTTGAGACATTCAATAGGACTAAACTGATGGATAGTACTTTGATAACAGCTCTAGGAGTATTAATTACAATACACCGAGAACCGTTTGTGTCCAGCTAAAGTTGGGGTAGCTAACTGTTTTTCTTATAAATAATTCATGTTTGTCCCAATTGAAAGAGTCTCGTAAAAGTAATAATAAAAAACATATTTTTCACACTTGTAAGAAAGAGCCCTGTCCTTGAGGAACTTGTCAGACGGATCTTTTTCCATAATTATTGTTTTTGTAGTTATAAAAAATACGCACCCCAGCTTTAAGATGTTGTTTTAAACTGTTACAGACATTCAGGTGATTTGCAATTCATCACAATCAGGTTCACATTGGCCGACAATGTTTATGAGAACATAATTTGCCAATTGACACAAATATTTAAAGGAAAAGTGATGTGCGATTCGACATTGACTGATGAAGTGTTTATGAAGAGAATCCATGCACAAAAAATCATCACAAGCATTTTACCTCGTCCTCATTATCAAATTCATCATATTCACTAAAGTCACCATAAACTGTCTGAAATTAAACAAAACAAAATTGAAATTATGAGCAGATTAGGAGAAGAACTACGATTGCATGCTTCCATTCCGTAAGAGAGGATATACAAAGTGCCTACTGTTTGTTTTACCTTGGTTCTATTGCTCATGAGCTGGACTAAAATTGCTACCACTTCTTTTTGGCCAAACGACTGTGCCTGCGACAATAAGAAAAGTTTTCTCTCAAGAAAATGTTAGAACATTTTCTGTTCTTTTCTTAGGTTGAGTTAGAGTTTAACACACCACTTGAATGGCATTCTGTCCGTCATATCCTGGTTTGTTAAGGTCCGCACCGGCAAGGCTCCAGATTTCTAGACCCTCCAAGTCGCCGCTCACAGCCAGGCTGAGAAAGGGGAATTGTTATTAGAACAAAGTTTCAAGTTTAAAGCATATGCATCGACGTGTCTTTATGTCGTCTGTGCGACATGAAGTCTGGACGCCCGGGTGGTAGGAGTGGTGTTTTTTTAATCACCATGAGCTCAAGGGTAATTGTTTTGTTTTTTGATATTTTTTTTTAAATTCTGTGTGTGCATGTGTGTGTGTGTCCAGGTATACGTATATGTGTGCGTGTGTGTTTGTGTGTGTATGCTGTATTTTTTACTTTTTTGTCAATAAATAAAAAATTGAGAAAAAAAATCACAACAAATCACCATTGTTTAAAGCAACGCTAGGTTACAATCCACCGCCAGAAAGGCCTGAAAAGACTATTCATCTATCAATAAATGAAATTCAAAACAACCAAAAACTGCATTATTCAAAGACAATAAATATGAAAACAGAAGATGTCCACTGAAAGAATCTTGGCTGAAGACATCTCACAACAGTAGCAACAAACAAATAATTGCACATCTTCAATAGCTTTTTGTGATTTACGTCTGTGATTAGCTGAGATGGAAATAGTTTCTTGTATTTGTCCAGAATACTTTGTCCATCGTGGCCTTTTTGAATCACATGTATAATATCAGTAGCTAAAAAAATCTGATTGAAACTATTGAGATGCACACGAGATGCTGAGATATGTTGCCAGGCTGCATTCCTCCAGTTTGTGTAAGAGCAGGACGACAGGTTAGGCCTGCATCAGCTGTGCAGGATGGGTCACTGTGGGCAGACAAAGTGGTCATGTTTTAAGACGGCCTCACCTGCACAACTCGCCGCCTGCCTCGTCCAGCTGGTCGCGAGAGAAGTGTGCTCCGGTCTTCCTCAGTAGCCTCACCACTTCTTTGTGTCTACAATTCAGAAGGCTCTATTAGGGTCGCCCATCATGAACAAAAACATTCTCTCCCAAACTAGATTTGCTCCGAACAATTGGACAACAGGCTTATTTAGAAAGAAATACAGAAAAATACATTGATAAACGTGTTTTTTGGGCCTATTTGCAGGTTTGAAAGAATATTACAGAAAGAACTTTGAAATGCCTTCATAAAACCCACTTGTATCGATCAGCCTGTAAACGGTTTTAAACTTCATGTTGTATTTTACTGTTCCACTTTGTCTTTGTTCTTGTGTTTCCTCTGTCTGCTTTGGTTTAGGGTTTTTTGTATCTACTGTTAACTATTTTGACTTTATTTTATTGCGTCTGTTTTTGACTGTTTTTATTGCTTATGTTGTCTGTGTAGCGCTTTGTGAACACTGTTTTTGAAAAGTTCTATACAAATAAATATTTATCATTCATTATCATTATTATCAAAAATTGTGAAAATATCATATAACACATACTCAAACCATGATAATTTCATATGTTATCCCCATTTATATTTCTGATTCAATTATTGGGTTCTGTTTGTGTTATAAAAAAATTCTCAGACCTGATCTTAAAGACCTCTGTCCATATTAAGGTAATCTAAAGTTACTACAATATGAAGGCAAGTATAGAGTCAGTTGGCAGGTTGTGACAAGTCCCTCATCCCCATTATAAACAACACACACAACACAGTGACAGTGGCAACGATACAGACAGCTCAAAAACCCAAAACCTGTGGTGCTTTATGTATGACACATTTATTCGTGAACAGGCTTTTTAAATAACTGAAAGTGTATTCTTAATTGGAAGCTTAAGAGAACATTTCAGAGATACTACTTCCTCTTGTGCGCAACAATGCTGGTATCTCTGTGAAACTGGGAGCAGGCTGGAAGGACTGGTTCTTAAGACACTCCCCAGTTTTCCTTAACCCCACACGCACCATACTCTGCCAGTCCTTATAAGGGCATGAGACAGACTTCGCTCTATGGATTGCGGAATTTCTGTACAATTTTAATAAAATGAAAATAGTTGACATCTCGAAGTGAGTCATTAGCTAATCACTACGAAACACTAACCAATGCATACATTCGGCGATACTGGAGTTGGATTCTGATGACTACGCAGGGCATCCATCTGCTACATGTCAGCACTTGCAGAAACAACCGTTAAAAAGGGACAAGAGACATTTGGCACAGCCTTTACACAACGTTTTCCCCCAGAGGCTAAGCATCACACTTGCACATTAAGAATAGCATTCCAGGTGAACACTGTTGGGGAGTGTAATTGGAAAAGATAACAATAATAAAACACGCAATAGCCTATACTGATACAAATTAGTCTTATCGTCTGAAAATGTTAACCTAATCTGGTGTTTAGAAGCCACCCTGTTTAAATCCCTTCTGTGCTCGTCGGCCCCAGAGGCAGCAGTCATCAAAAGAAATCACGCCATTATAGTCATTGAGATAAGTGTAAGTGGACAACATGCGGCAAAGCTCAGGCTCGAGTCTTACCGAAAGTGTACGGCATTACACAGGGGAGTGGCCCCATAGCGATCTTTAGCGTACACCGTGGCCCCGTGGCTCAGCAGGTATTGCACCGTTTTGAAATGGCCCTCACAACACGCCACGTGGAGAGGAGTGCGTCCGTCATAGTCTCCTAAAGACAGATTACTGCCCTGTTCGAGGCAAAATGAAATGATTAAGCAAAAGATCACATGGTTTTGGCATATTAAACAACATATTGGGTTAGAAGATAGCACAACTACACACACATGTGACAGGAAGTGAGCTCGCCTAACAAGTCTAGCCTCATGTTTGCTTCAGTCTCCTCTGCCTACATTAGCTTGTGTGCGTTTGCGGATGGTGTTTAAATATTTGTAATGCCTTTTTTCCGAGTCCAATAACAAATAGGACTTTTGAATCTTGCGCTATCTAATGTTTAATTGACCTCCAAACTCAATAACAAACTAACAGGATACAAAATAAACAGAATTTTTTTTTGAAAAGGGGTTGGACGAAGCAGATGCTTATAGGGCTGCAATCCTTCTCACTCATTCAACACAAAACACACACACACACACACACGCACACACACAGACCCTAAACCTCTCTCCTATCACTCGGTCTTGCTGAGGGCATCGCTCTCTCTCTCCTCTACGTACTTGTGTAGTGTTTCCTTTTCAAATATTGTTTAAACAGGTTTGCACTTCCTCTTCTGTTAAATTGTTCCAAATGTTAACTCCACGCACTGATTTTAAATACACTTTTTTGTTTTCTCTTGGAGATGCTCACCATAACTACAGACTATCATGGAATAAGTTTCATACTGGTGGCAGAGTGGACAAAAAACAGATAGAAAAAATCTAAAGAGCGAAAACATTATGCACATCTTTTACAATATTTGATTTAACTTTGGGTTACACATTGATTATTATAGTTTGAATTATCTTGGAAAACTACCATTTCTCTTAAGGCTTCAAGTGCTTCGACGTCCCCGATCTTAGCAGCAGCACAGGCCAGTGGGGGAGTCAGGGCATCACGTATGGCTTCCAGCTCCTGTGAATAAATGGCACGTCGTAAAGAGCAGATGTTGGGGATGAAAGAAAAGAGGATGACGTCTTCTCGGAAGCTGCACTCACCTCTTTGCAGCTGATGCTCAGAGATTTGGCGATGACCTGGATGAAGCGGCTGTCGCTCAGACACAACTTGGCTCCAACAATATCAGCCCTCATCTCGCCTCGGAGGTTCTGACTCATCATCTGCGAACACAGCGCCGTACACTCGAAACACGGGGGAGATTTCAGCCGAAGAAACAGCATTTCCATAGTAACAAGCAGGAAAAGTAATGCAAATGTACAGTAAGGCCTTGTTTTGACAAGTCTCTCCATGGCCTCGCACCAAAGTACATAAGTGACAAGTTAGTGCCATAAGAACCAACTCAGACTCTGAGGGGCACAGGGACTGACCTCTTGCTCGAGGCCCAGAGTCGGGGCTAAGTAGTAATTCGGAATTATGCAGCTAAAATATAGAACAGTCTTCCTACAAATGTGAGACAGGCTTTCACTCTAACGATGTTCAAATCCAGGTTAATAACAGCTCTTTTTAGCTGTGCTGTGATTGTATCTTCGCTCTTTTTTATGTACTAATGATTGTAATGCCTTGTGTGATTGTTTCTATCTTGTTTTGTTAAGAACTTTGAGTTGCCTTGTGTATGAACTGCACTATACAAATAAACTTGTCCTGCCATAACTTTAAGAAATACATTGTCAGGCAATATTACATCCAAAATAGATTCATTTAAGTAAATTTTGAATTTGAATGTGCAATACAGGACATGCTTGTCTATCTGGTATTGTGCAAGAATTTATTGTCCGTTTTTTATTTTATTCAGAACTAATTATGTATTTACCTATTGATGTTCTATCAATCCATGCTTATAAGATAAGATATTGATCCTGCTCTCATTCACACAGTCACAGGTGCATAAATAAGTCGCTAAAAAATAATATCTTATTATGCAAATACAATAGAAGAAAAACAAACGTTTTAAACATTCTAATTTATTGTATCCATTCAAAGTGCATTAAGTGTATAAAGTCTTCACAATACTTTTCAGAGAAGTTTAATGTAATTGGGTAGAAGTATATTGTATATCTGTTTATCAAAAACTCAAAAACTATTCATACTAGTTTATATGTACATTTTACCAGTACACCTCATTTTCCCCATAGGGAAATTTGTTTGTATTTTGAAACACGCAAAAATGAAAACCTAGTCTCACTTTTATGTCTGATGGGAGAAGGATGGTACCTTTTTCTTTGCATCTAGATCCAGCTCTTTCTTTGCCAGCACATAGGACAGCTTTGAGAGCGCAGCTTCAGGGGTCATGTCACCACCAACTATCAGTCCAGCGTCTATCAACACCTGCCGCATGCACACACACATCATCGTCATCATCATTATCATCAACATCATGGCGGAAGTGGATGAAGAAGGTACGTTTCTGTCAGTCGATCAATTAAATCAAATCTTTACTTGGAAAGGACATTTCAAACAGCCTAGGCTTACCAAAGTTCTGTACAGACAAAAGAACACAATAAAACCACATAAAAATACAGCTATATATATACACACATAAAAAACAAAAACTTGTCTCTTTCTACCTGGTATTAAAAGCCAAAGAGAAAAGGTAGGTCTTGAGCAAGGATTTAAATTAAGTGGCCGTACTTTCCCCGTTGCGTACGACGTCGACACGGTTCCCCTGAGGCACTGTGTACAGTTAATGATGATGACCCCAGAATCGGTGGCCTTCTTCAGCTCCTCCAGTAGATCCTTGCGGTTGTCCGGAGCGTTCCCGCTGCCGTACGTCTCCAGCACCACTCCCTGCATCGGAGGCTGGAGGAAAGCTCGAACCTGATTTCGGACATAAATGAGATTTATTACATTCTGCAGTGTTGTTTAGTTATTCGGGTGCCTTCTAGTGTACACTAGAACGCAATGCACATTTAGATGCTAATGTGATTATTACTGGTTCAATCACAATTGGGTTGTTGAGTATCTACACAAGACTTGGTACACATAATATAAGGATTTAAGGCTTTGAATGAACTTCTTCTGCTTAATTCAAAACACTCAGATTGCTGATAGAGCTATGGACATAAATTTGCAGCTGTTCAACTCAATAAAATCAAAATATATTGCTGAATGTGCTGACTGTTCAACTGTTCAAGAATTAAAAGAGAAATTGTTCTTCCATGTTATCTTTCCTGAAGCCCTCTTCCACCATCCAGCCCCCTAAAAGCCCATCTGGAATCACCTCCACACCCAGTATCTCTCTCTCTGGTTGGCTGGCATGGGGCGGCCCTATACCACATCATTAGCAACGGCAGACGATGCGAAAGGCAGATGACTAAAATGGCAGAGATGAGAGCAATTAATCTGAAGGTGTTAGCAAGCATAAAGTCACTTGGCACAACGACGCCGCATGGCAGCGACCGTAAAACACTGAGAAGGTGACATTAAAAGTCAGTCAGTATTTTTGTTGCCATAAACATTTGGATGAGGTGCAGCGTACACATGAAGGCGGCGATACAGGAGCCTGGTGCCTAATCAAAACTTGCCTCATAAAGCCAGTTAGAGGCCATGAGGAAGTCTTGATAGGCGAGCGGGGCAGATTGAGACTGTAAAGTCACTCTTGCAGTTGTCCCGGGAGGGGGAGGTGCCACTAAACATTACAGTATCCTCTGTACAGAGTCATCTGTCATGCCCCATGTACCGCCTCCCTTTTCTCCGGGACCAGTTTGAACACGGAAGAAGACTGACCGCATACGTGGATTTGTTACATTTTTGAAATATGTTTACCAAACCACATCGATCAAACATTTTACAAAATACAAAAAAAGGAAAAAAAAATAAAGATTTTGCTAGAATTATTATGAACACCAATCTTCAGCTATCTTGCTCCACACCTCAGCATCTGTTGTCCCTATATTTATCTTTATTTCAGACTCAAAGTCGTATGATCCATGCTGTAAAACAGGTCTCCAACCAGTAGCTCACCAGACCCTTATTGACTTTCTAATTTAACTATACATGTTTTCATTGTATTCACTAATGTAGTGTTATTTATAGTAATGCTGCTATTTCTGTTGCATAGAAGTAGCTCTCCAAAAGAGAAATGTTGGAGACTCCTGTTGTAGAACAAAAAACAGGGTGAACAGAATCTCAATTAAACCATAAAGTTCAAGTAGTGATGGTTGAGTCTTTTTGCCAAGTGCTTTGCCCAGTGACATTGAAATTGAAATTAAAATTCGATATTTTCAGCTGTGATTATATATGCTTTTACTGTCTACTGATTTTAAGGTTTCCTTTTTTGTTTTTGGAAAGCACCTTGAGTTACCCTGTGTATGAACTGTGCTTTACAAAAATCGTCATATACAGTTTGTTCCCATAACTTAGTTACAGTTGAAAAATGATTGACTGCTTGATACTACTGACTAACTTACCAACTTACATGACAAAAGGCAAACATAGTTAAGAATTAACAGTTACAACAAGATATAATAATTATCTTTGAATGTAAACAGTCCAATTCAATGCCCACAATAATACTATTCTACTATACTATTATTATTAGTCTTTTCACAAATACATAAAAGTAACAACCTAAGTGCCTGCCCAGGACGTGATACAGATCTGCGGCACACATGACGGAGTGCAAAACCTGTTTGGAGGAACTCACAGTCGCTGCAGTGATGCCCGGAAACAGCCGCAGTAGCCCCACATTCCGGTTCAGCTCCGTGCTCACGCGGAACTTTGACGTGGTGTTGGCTCTCCATACCGTGTCCCAGTTAACTACGATAGAGAGAGAGAGGTTTTCACTCCAGACTCATGAAATATGTACCATCTAATGCATTGAGATGGACGGTCCAGCTTGCTTACTTGTGATGTCCACTTCAGCACTGGCCAGGGGAGCCAGGTTGGGAGAAGCGAATGCATTAAAGCTTGCGGTATCCACTTTTGTTACGCGGTTGCCTCTGTACAGTTTGTTATGGAAATATAAACCCACCTAAAAGAGAGAACAGGAAAACACTGTGGTGTATAATTACCAAGCGGGGGAAGTTCACAATGTTCCCCATATTTAACTAGTTTTTCAACTTTGGTAATTGCCATTTAATGCTGTGTCTTAATATCAGTCGGATCCCTTAGACTTTTGTAACCGTTTCAGCTCCACTAGATAAGCTAATGAATAGTATGTTGTACAATATTTAATGGACAGACTAACTATTAAATATAGGATACTTCTTATCTTTACTATTCAAATCAATATTTTTATCTGATACAGCTGGGACAGGAATTTGGCTAATTTAAAGTTCAAGTACGTTATTTATTTTTGTTCTTGAATAATACATGTAGTTTGTCTCAACAGAAAGTGTCTTGTACAGTTACATTGTTGTGAACAGACCAAACCATAACATGATGTCTTATATTTCGCATACTAGAAAGAGCCTTGTGAGTTACTATTTGATGCTTTTGGCCTAGAGAGTTGATTGGCTGCGTGAGAGTGGTTCTCTTTTTCCGTTTTCTGTCTGAAAAAGCATGTGTGACAGAGGCCAGGTATACATGCATGTGAAAACTAGTGTTAAAGACAAACTGTTTTGAAAGGAAGGAACTAGTTTAGGGCTGTAATTTACAAATATTTTGATGTCAATTTGTTGTCAGATCATCCTTTCAATTAATCGAAATGAATATGGGAAATTGTATACTCCAGAGATGCCCTCAGAGAACATCTTCATAGAATACACATGAAGTTCTAATTACAATTTTTTTTTAAATATAATCTACTGAATTATCCGAGTCAACAAAACGATTCCTTCATAACTAAATTTGTTGACAACTACTTAAATAATTAAATAATTGATTAGTTGCAATGAATAGACTTGTTACAGCCCTAAACTAATTAGAATATAAAGTGATCTGAAAGTAAAGTACAGCAGTTTTAGTTACCTCAGGAATTACAAATTGTCCTGCAATCAACAGCGCCCCCAGGAGGTTGTCTCTGCCATCATTTCGGAGTTCATAGATGGGCACCTGAAATCAGACGTGTGTCATTATTTGCTTTTCTTTTATCTATTTATTAATATGAAGAAATAGTATGTACCTGCGACCCCGTGAGAATAATAGGTTTTCCCAGATTCTCACACATAAAGGACAGAGCTGAAGCTGTGTAAGCCATTGTGTCTGTTCCGTGCAGAATCACAAAACCGTCATAGCTCTCATAATTTTTCTGAAATGAAAAACGGGTATTAAACATGTAAAACAGCCTGTCACAACAACTCATTTTCATTCAGAAAAACGATAATATTAAAACTACGTAATGCCACTGATGCAAGAAAGCAGCATCGTTTTCATTTGCATTTCACCAAGCTGCAGATATATGTGAGTAATCTATATTTATAAAGCGCCTTTCACAGACCAGAGTCACAAAGCACTTTACAATTGTTGTGGACATTTGTCCTCTCACTCCACACAGAGATGGGAGCAGGGTCGCCGTACATGTTTTAGTGGTAGGTGAAACCGGAGCGCCCAGAGAAAACCTACGCCTGGAAGTGGAATCGAACCCAGGACCTTTGTTGCACAAGCGCAAACCATTGCACCACTGTGCTGCCAACTTTCTTCTACCACTTTCTTCTCTCCATTTCCCCGACAACAAAATGACACTAGCGAGAAGAAAGCAGACAACAACAGGCTGAATGCGCTTGTAAAGAAAGCTGGTCCTGGATGTGGAGCAGGAGACTGTGAGGTGACTGTTGAAGACACTGCATCAGAAAACATCTCAGACCCTCCCCTCCTACAGGAGCAGCTTCAGATGCAAGTTCAGGCTGCCCCAGAGCAGGACCATAGAAAATCTATACAATGGCAATCAAACTGTCCAACTCCTCCCCTTTTAGTATGGAGAGGTAGCACTGATTCTTTGCACATTTTGAATTCTATGATTTATACCATTTAGAAGCACTGTATCCATTTATATTGTTTATATGTGTTGATGCACTTATGTGATTTTAAAAATTTGAGAAGTATAAAGCTAAATCTTATCTTGTGATTTTTTTTCATTTTTCCTTTTCATTATGAGAATAAACAGCAAAATTAACTATCATTTAATCATATAGAACCATCTACAGCAACAACCTCATCATTTTACAAAGAAATTAGCAAATGTCTCTCCACTTTCAACAAAGATAATGTACAGACAATAAATATTGAGACCAAAAATATATTGTTTTCTCCATCGGTCACTGAATGTTAAGTTGATTATAGAAGCAGTATTGTAGTATATGTGACAGGCCTAGCAATCAGTTGTAATGAGTACCTCGATGTCCTTGCCAATTCTACCCCAGTCATCTGTGGTCATGTTCGAAGAGTCCAAAAGGGGACTGTACTCCATTATTGTGTAGACTATCCTCTTACTGTCTTTACTCGACCTGCAAAAAGACATAACTTTCATTCTCTGCATTGTAAAACATAATACTAGACTCACACGTTATAGGTTAGTTTAGGTGCTAATAAAAAAGCAAACGCACATTGTCCCATACTTAAATAAGTCCCCAGTGAGAAATTGGGTCATTTGTCTTTATTGAACCAATTTAGGAAAGTTGGACAAAGTAGTGATTATTTTAAAGTGTGGGTTTTAAGAGGACTCTGGAAAGGCAAGAACACACAGAGTTTATGAAGCAAGAAAAGTCTATTAGGTTGCCGCTGTTGGTAGGCCACATGGAAAGAGGTATTTAAGTAAAAAAGGGGGTCTTAGTGGAGTGTATTGTGTTGCATGAATCAGACTGCCGCTTATGTATTATGTCCAGTATCTAAGCTACAAAAAAGGGCTATATTTACATGACATTTTCACACATGTATCTATTTTAAATGAGAAAAAGCGACCAATTTCGCCTTAACATACTATTTTAACAAAAACATGGAAAACGAGCACCAACCCCCATTCACATTATCAACAGATTAGCCCCAAACGTTGACCAAGTAGCAGAAGTGCCCAGCAGGAGGGAGGCAAATCCCAGCATTGTTTTGGTTGAAACACTATTCGGCTTAAGCCACATTTGACAAACAGCAATTGTGTTAGTACTTAGGGCAGAATGCACATTAAGTTATTATTCATTCATGTTTCTAATAGCATACACTACCATCACATCTTGTATATTAGTAACAATAATAAAAAATAGTTTTAGTAACTACTTTATCAACTACTGTCATATTTCACGCACGACATGTTAAAAGAATCATGCATCAAAGTTGACCGATATTGACAAACATTTTCCTCATTCAAGCTGCATTTGCATAATTCTGTACGCAGGCCACAGATACACAAGCTCGTACACTTCCATTTGCTAACAGGTCATTCCAGCAAACCCTGTATGAAATATTCTGTGCAAAATGCAGACACAAACAATAATACCCGCTTAACACAGGCCCAGCAATGCCCAATTGTGGCGTTGGCTTCCTGTTACAACAGAACAAAGAACAGAACTATATTACACTAATTTCCACACAGAAATTTTAAATGAGGTGGGATTTATTTTTCTTTTAGGCATTGCTAAATGAGACATATCATTTAATTGTGCACTATGTAGGTTTTCCGCTAAAGAGTCTCTCACCTGACTGCCCTGATGCATGTTATTGGACACACCATGTACGCCATTACATTTGCTCACTTAAACAAGGAGCCTTGTCCTACTTAATATCTTTAATTCAATGGAAGCAATTCTCTTAAAACATGATTCCTACAGCTCCACAGAAACTCTCTAACTTGGGATAAATTACAATACTGTGTTTAAATCTTTCTAAACCATGCGATAAGTCCAAGAGGAACGATCCAAGAATCCAAGAAATGTTCAGAAATGTATTATATGCCTGAGAAAACTTCAAACTTACGGTAGAACCAGTGAGTTATCGCCATAGTATTGGTACATACAGGTCTGCTGGGCATACAACTCATCGTGGAGAATAGGAAGTTTACGGAGGCCTTTTACAAATGCTTTGGGTTTGGGGGCAAGCACTGTGAACAACAACACAAGTATAAAGGTTAGCTGGATAGATCATTTATTGTCATTGAACAAATACAACTAATCTTTGTGCATTTGACTCTTGGTAAACTGTGTTGCAGATGTAGGTCAGTTCACGATATTGGTATCGTGCTGACATCTAGTGGTTGGCACAAAAACCTTCATAAAAAATCAAATTAAATGTGGAAAGTTCGAAAGTGTACAATAGAGTAACAAGATTTTAATTAATAAATAATTTTTACTTTTAGTGCTAATATTCCTCCAAGTGGCGACAATGGATGGCGTTCATAATCAGTGTTCGGCGGGAAATGTTTGTTTGTTTGTTTAGGATTAATTATATACTTTTAAGGTCGGACCTTTGAGTATTATTTTTCTCCATGTCCAAATATGAAGGGTTGCATAAGAGCCAACTTCCCCAGTAAACACTAGTTACTCATTGAGAGAAAATAGATGTTTACCTGGAAGGGGGTCTACTACAAGTGTACTACGTTCTAGCAGTCGTATCTGCAATGAATTACTTATCATATACCATTAGTAAGTAACATTTTTTCTAGTTTGTGTGCTACCTGTGCACACAAACTGAAATATTGGACTTGTCACTAGCTAGCTGACGCCACCAGCTCCAGCAGATGGCTTAAGCTGGGTTATTTTAGGATACACGTGCAAGCATGTTGTTGTCACAACATGGTATCACACACTCGATACACTACTGAAAATTACCTCTATCAAAGAGATCGTGCAGACTATGACTATTGCTGTGACTATACCATTGTCGTAGAGTGTCATGCCGATGGTTCCTCCAGTGTTGATGACCAGGACCCGCGCTTCGGCGGACCCAGGTGAAGTGGCCGGTTCAATGTGGTCGAAGGAGCTGCAGCTGGACAACTTTCTCCTGCGGGACGCATGCACCTGAGCACTCCGCGAAGGGCTGATGTCGTTGGTTTCGAACAGGTCTAAAGTCGGCTGTGAGAGTGCCCGTGCTAAGGATGTCATGTTGTCAAAGCTATTGTCAGAGTCCGCCATGATGATTACGCGTGTGGGTCCGCGGTGAGTCTGAAGTGGTCTGAAGGAGCAGCAGGTCGGCTCATGTGCCGCGTCTTCAGCGTGTCACGGGTCCACACACCCTCAAGGACACGGTCCTAAACCAAACCGTCACAACAACTGCATGCTCAAGCGTCGCCTCCTATAAACACGCCACCACAAAACCTGACGCTAGTATGTGGACAGTATGCTCCCAGGATCTGTTTATTAGATCTGAATGTGACAAAATGTTGTCAAAGAGAGGATGCAGCGCTCCTGTGGGCGTGGTTTGAGGCTCACGTGCTCAGTCCTGGTTAACGCCACATGTACAGTGTATGTATGGTACAGTGTGTCCGCTGGGTGGGAGAGGATGGTCTTTCATACATCTATATATATATATCTGTGGATCTAACCGCCTTTGAGACGATTTGAGAATAACATGAAGCTCATAAAGTTCATTAGCTACCAATAATTAACTTTACGGACTTATTACGCATGTATTTGTATTTTTTTTTTTACTTTGTAAAAAGGACCAGTTCGTATTAAATAAAGATAAATAAATGAAATACAAATAATAATGATCATAAAATAATAATAATAATAATAATAACAATATTAATAATAACAATAATAATAATAATAATAATAAACAGTTGATTTTTGATAACTTGTCTTTCTTCCAAGGTAAGGTTATTCTGCTTTCGTCCCAGAAGATGGAGCTGTTCCTTCAAAAATAATAAAGCTCCGGCAGTCATCACGGTCATCACCCATCAGACTTCCAGAATGTATATGCTTTTATATTTATATATGGACGATACTTACAGATACATCCTTTGTTGTCCATAACTTGCTTAAGTTTTAAATTATGCTGGATCATGAATACTATTTAATAAAATAAAATCAAATAACCCTGCATCTATGTGATGGAATGTTCGATTCAAAGGCTCTAAAACGCTGGGTAGATGACATTAAACTATATTGTGAGACATTGTATGTGTTTGAAAGTCGCCGGACAGTTTTGGGAGTCCTCCACACTGACGCCTCAAAGGAAGTGGCCAAACGCTCCACACCTCTAGTTTCCGCTGGAGTAGCGAAGCAGCTCGACTGAAGGAGAGTGGGAATTTACTGACACATACACGGCGGATGGACGGTAAATGCACTCAAAATGCCTTCATCTGTTGAACCGCGATAAAGACACACGTCATTATGACGAGTTTACGATACAAGCAACACACTACACTGCATATGATTAGTTTACAACTGCTAGTCAATGTTAGCCATTAGCTTAGCAATAGCCTTATCAGCAACAAGCTAATGCTAGCTTAAGAGCGGTATGTAGCAGTCATGAGATGTAAGCAGCTACTTTGGATCGTCTGACTCCCCCTCAATCTCATTTCAGGAACACAGCAGTGGATTCCAGGAGCCACTGTGGAGGCGAATCTGTGAGGGCATTTTCCCACAACACATGGAGTGTCCTGCTTTGTGGAATAAACGCTGAGAGCAGCTTTTCTCTGGCACACGGAGCTGTACAAGGGCGCACCCGGGGGAAGGACCGCTACCCGCCAACGCTACACTTAAGACATACTATCATCGTCCTCTGGCTTCTGTAGAAGACTGCATTATGAACCAACTGCAAACGGAGCTATCAAGTTAGTTTTTCTGCCATGTTGTGAGAAAGATCCCCGTGAAAGTCGGAATGTTCATGTCCACCCTCTCTATGGGTCTACCACGCCAAAGGAATGATTTCTAGATGAAGTATATGATCAGCTTTTTAAGCTACGTCGGCTCTATAGTGTTTATATCCAAGTGTGACGGTTTTTCTTTGTAGGTTGAAGTATTTATGCACAGTTGCTCAAAATGGGTAAAATGTTATCAAAAATATTTGGCAATAAAGAGATGAGAATATTAATGCTGGGACTAGATGCTGCAGGCAAGACCACAATACTTTACAAGCTCAAGCTTGGACAGTCTGTGACTACAATCCCCACAGTTGGATTCAATGTAGAAACTGTCACCTACAAGAACGTGAAGTTCAACGTGTGGGATGTTGGGGGCCAAGACAAGATCCGGCCTCTGTGGCGACACTACTATACAGGCACCCAGGGGCTAATATTTGTGGTGGACTGTGCTGACAGAGATCGCATTGATGAGGCACGACAAGAGCTCCATCGCATCATTAACGACCGGGAGATGAGGGATGCCATCATCTTGATCTTTGCCAATAAGCAGGATCTCACTGATGCCATGAAGCCCCACGAAATCCAAGAAAAGCTCGGGTTGACGCGCATCCGCGATAGGAATTGGTATGTTCAGCCGTCTTGTGCCACCACAGGTGATGGACTATATGAAGGCTTGACATGGCTAACATCAAACTATAAGTCTTAATGATAATGAGTGGATGATTTTAGGTCCAAATGTTAAAGTGTGAGTAATAATTAATCACTCAATGATATGGTTAAAAAGTTGATTACTTTTTTAAGTTCATCTTACCACTAATTTATATTTAACTGGGTTTGCTGGCTTGAATTTTGCTTTTATCCTAGCAGGTCTGCCACATGTATTATAACTGGGAGGCTTGAGTCAATATTGAAATATAGGATTCTAATATTGAAGCCACAGAGATCACCGCCTTTGCCTATAGTTTCTCCAGTTTTATATAATTTTCTATCGAACGTTCACTGTTGGACTAATGGTTTCTAGGTTCAGGTTATGTTTTTGAAAAAAATATTTTGTTTATGTTAAGTAGCCTACTTTTGAAGCTTTTGGAAGGCATTTCTTTCTACACAGTACTGTAACAAAATGTATTTCTTGGATTTGATTGTCTGCTGCAAGGGGAAAAGGAAATTTACGTTTCTTGCATCTTTTTCAAAAGTCTTCTCATGGAAGAAAAAGTGACTCCAAACCTGTTTTGCTCCCTCTTCCTTCCCTTATGTGGGCTATATAGCTACATGATTGACCGTCTGTGTCATGTCTTGATATATAATTGTGCTGAACTAGGCCGCAGTAATTTACACATGCTTGTCTGGATGCATTTTATTTTTGGGTAACATGTAGTGGACTCAATCTTTCCAATGGAATGTCATTCAGCTCTTGAGTGCTCTCAATCTAATACCACAGTTTATTAGTCTCAATATTGAGACAGAATATGATAGCCTCTATCTGTAGCATGAGTATACAGAAGTACAGTAGCCCTGCATCAGTTACCATCTGGTCAGTCAGGGATGCTGCTGATTGCTAAAAAGTTGCAAAAGACACATGGTGCAGCACTTTCTAATTTGACTGTGGAAAACATGTACATAACATTTCATTGTAATGTCTTATTAAAAAAGTGATTGAAAAACATGTGTCAGTTGTTTGTTCAATGGGCAGTGTCATTGTCAATTGGTAACATAATTTGGCTAAGAGAAAACTCTTTGAGAAAACAGAATATGCTTGTACAAGGATGCATTTTAAACTTGTGCAGCTTGTCTTTCACGTTGAAGTACATTTGTGTTGCAGAGCCTTAGGCTCGAGAGCTTCCATCAAACAGGTCAGGTGACATGACAAATTCAACACCTTATCCACAGTGTGTTCTTACACCATCTAACTATTCTAGTGGGGTGTTCACTACCTGCTTGCTTCATGGAGATGTTATTGCACTACCTTAAATGTTTAATTGTGTCTTCAAAGGGAATATTTCTACTATTCTATTTAATTTGTGTCCCCAGACAACATGTACAAATCACATATTCTGGTCTAAATGTACATGATGACGTATTCTTCATTATAGCAGTCTTTTTTTCGGTTGCCTTTTCATTTGGAGAAATCCTGGTGGAGCAGCTGTGTTATCAGTGTGTGCTGCTTTTCATTGGTAACACATGGTACAGATATTGTACACTAATATAGAACTGAATCTAATCCAACTAAACTGATCTCCAATGGCAATTTTGTATCAGTGCCTTCAATGCTATTGACACATTTAGAATTGTATTTGTTTTGGACACGTATAGGACTATTTACTTTTAGATTCATAGCATTAAACCAACACCTGTCATAAGTAAAGTCAAAATGAAAACTGGTACAGGTTCTGTAAAAAGCATTGGCATAATGTAACAAGGTGAATAAACAACACATTTATTGTGTTTTAGTTTAATTTTGCACTGTTTTACCTCAGGGATAGTGCCACTGAGGGCTGCTTAATAGGGCTGTTATGGTCACTTCTGGTCTCCACCACTTCATTACAACCATATGATGTTCAGTGCCGCGGCCTCTGGGGAAAGGACATTTTATGACCTCTCCTCTGGCTACAGCAGACAACTGCTTCTGTGGAGCTCTCAAAAGATTCAAAAAATGAAACATCTGTAATGGTTGCACATTGACAAATCCTGAATGATAGACCTCAGGTTGTGACAGTAGTCTGTAAGTACTTAATTCTTTGTTTTACAACACGCCCAAACAAACATCTGAGCTAATCCACACAAGAATGTTTATGACAGATGTTTGTGGTGACTATTCCTATGACAACACTTTAACGGGATCTTTACTAGTTCAGATGTTGGCTTCCTTTTTTAAACATGAATCAGGAAGTGTGCATAAGCGCAGTTTCAATTTTACCAAAGTTCTGCAAATTGCAATTACTCACATTGCACATTTTCTATGTCCAAAATGAGGCAATACTTGTACAGCCTTGGTAAGAGTGTCTAAGACCTTTTCCAGGTTTTAAAGACACACCCAACTGCCAAAGCACCTCATATCTTTAAACATAGTGGCTGAGGAGAGGCCCCATGTGTAGAAATGTGTGTGCCCTAGGTATGGCCTGTGCACTTCTGAAGACTCCCTTTAAGCAAGCTGTTAATAATGAAGTCTAGAGCCGAGAGTTAAACAGGTCCGGAAGTGGCTGAAAGTCGTTTGAGGTTTCCTGCTGAGGTGCACATTCTTGAATGCCAAGCTAAAATGGCATACATATACCCAAAGTAGTAAAAACTTTAGATCACGGAAATAATTCCAAGTCCTGTCTGTGTGATTTGGTCAGAGCAGACGTCTCTCAGATGCTGTCATTATTGTGTGTATGTTATGCACAACAATAATGTACTAATTTATTGGCATTTTGTTGTGTTTATTGTAAGATGCATGATCTTCTATTCATAGTCCATTGTGAGAGGCTGAAGCCGGGTCTCTGTGAAGAATTACAGGATGTCAAGCACAGACGGAGTGAGCCGGTTCATCCCTGAGTGTGCGTGCTGTTTTCCCAGCTGCAGCAGACGGGGTCACATTTACAAATGCTTTCTAAACGTAAGCAATTCTCAAAACAACAAACATGAAGTAGTTTGTGGGCTACTTTTCTTATTTTTCCAATCAGAGAACTACACCAATTTACGGAACCATAGATTGTGTTCATGTGACAACACAACATTATAAAGAGTAAAATGTTGGTGGAGAGCAGTGGATTTTATTTCCCTGGTAACTAATGTAACTGTCGAAATTCAAACTCCTTGTATAGATAATGTCGCTGTAACTCCTGGGCCAATCTATTTGTAAAAAAACGGTCACACGGTCCAAATGTCATTATCACAAAATGTGCCTGGTAGTGGTGAGAATACTCAGATAAAGCGTTTACTTTCTGCTGGCCTTGGACTTTCACATGTAAGATTAATATGCCGGGTTTGTGATAATATTCTGGGACACATTAGGATATTTTAATTTTTGTAATTTCTTTCAAAATGTCCTCTTTCCCACATAATTATATTGGTACCTGCCCTCCAACTGGACTGAAAAAGATTTCTACAACATGAATGCAACATAATGAGGATATACAGTACATTGTCCAATTTAGTTTTCTTGTCCTTTCCAACTTTTTTGTGTCCTGTGTCATTAAATTGCATTTCTGGATCCTCCTGTTACATCACCTGGATTACAATTGTGTGGTGAAATATCTTTTTCAGAATACTCAAAAAGGTACACACTCCAAGATGGAAAATGCATCCACAACAATAGCCACATCACTCAAGTTGATAGAACCAAACTGACAATAGTTTCATATAATGCATGTAAGAACCATTGAACACAATCTATCAAACAAGCTCTCCATTCAGACAGGCTTTGTGCGACCTCAAAGGCCAGGTTCAGCGTCTTCCTACTGCATGACTCACAAACTGACTAAAGCTCACACAATAGCTGTAATTATGTAAGAACTGATGTTTAGCGTGGCAATGTGCCCGTATTAGAAAACAGTTCCATCTCTAAGAGTAGGGTATGGAATCAGGGGCAGAGCACAGGTCCACACAAGATCGAGTAATGACTAAGGGAAACATAGATGGCTATAGGCTGGCTCATCCCTCTCCCCTTCTCCCCCTGGTGTTGAACTGCCACTGCACTAATGATGATGAATACTTGTGCACGAGAGAGTGCCGTGGGACCTGTGTTCTACTGTCACCTTGCACTGGGCTTGCACTACAATAGATCAATAATACATACTTTATATAGTATAGGCTGTTTAGAGAAGCAAACACTCTTTGGCTTTCTGTACATGATCCTTTTGATATAGGAAAGTGCTTAAAACCAAGGATTTAGCTCTATATAAGTAGTATAAGTGAGTAATTTGATTTCAATTGTAATTTGTCACCACAAGGCTATAAAGGTGAACAGATTCAATGTGGCTTTTAACCAAGTTGTTCATTCCTTGTTTGAATCATTTTTGATTCCAGTATGTCACATGATCTGAGAAAAACTGTTATGACACTGCCACGTTCACTTATGATTCTACTTTTTCCACATCACATCCCTAATAAAAACCACAGTGACACCCCTTTACTGATGCTATTTGACCCCTCCTGAACTTTATCACAATACTTCTGAACCACGACAAGAGCTGAAGTCATTTCGTTGGGGTATAATCTTTTTATGTTGGATACAAATGACTGAGAGGAGAAACTTGGTGTCAGGATCGTCTTTGCAGCCTTCTCTATTTTTACTCATCCCATTTGGATGTCTATTCTCCAGCCACTCCCTAATAGTTAGAGAGAAAATGAGTCTCCCTTTCTGGAGCAGTGCCTGTTGGCTCCAGGGAGCGTGATTACAGTGACATCTCTGTGTCACTTGGATGTGTTGTACCCATCTGCTTTGATAAGTTACATCTTTTCCCTCATGTTAATTAATAAGGAAGAACTCAGAGGTTGTGGCCAATAACAGCATGATGTTTATTGTCAATGCAATGATCTCTCAATGTTGTAGCGTATCTGACTCTGCAGAATGCCATCACATAATTAATGCTATAATTACCCAACCACATTGTCTTACTCAGCTCTTTCTTGGGACTTGGACTTTTTCCAGTTTTGTCTCACAGGTAAAATGTACTCCAGTGCAATGGCATCTGCTGAAATTGGCCCCATTCTGTCTTGGAGAATGCAGTTCCTGTATTGGGAAGGAATGTATCAGGCCACCAAAGTAGTAAATGTAACGTTAATGTGAAACCAGAGACTTTATCGCTAGAAGAGTGCCCTCATTTAGCACAAGCGTTCTCACTTTCCTCCAAGAATTAACCTAATTAATAGATTATTGAAAGTCAGTATTGTAATTTTAGCCAAGTAAATAGTCGGCCAATAGAATCATAAACAAACGATTATTTACGTAATTGGAAAAGATTTAATTTACTACTACTCTTTTTTTATTTTATTTTTTTTACGGTGAAAACGTGTACATTTGCGTCCAGGCCCAAACCTAATCACGTGTCGAGCGTCACTTTTAGCGCCCACCTCATAGAAGTCTTTTTGAAGTATAAATGATTTTTTTGTAAAAAATATCCGTGAGCTGATCACAGAGAAAGTGAGAAAGGATTAGCAGTATATTATATTTTATATAGCGTTTTATTGGACACTCAAAGAGGCTTCACATGTCATTATTCATTCACTCCATACACAGTGGTGATAAACTACTACTGTAGCCACAGCTGCCCAGGGGCACACTGACAGAAACGAGGCAACCAGTATGTGCCATCGGCCTCTCCGACCACCACAAACCATTCACACACACACCAGACTCATTCTAGGCAATGTGAGCAAAGTAGGGACATAGCCGCTGCCGCCCCACCGTGGCACCTGATGCTCCCTGAGGTCTCCCATTACAATAGAAAACCAGCACTGCCCAGCTTTGCTTTAGAGGTCTGACAGGATCTGGTTTTCACATCCAGGTGGTGCCATAATGTAGTCAAAGTGTGTTGTCCAAATTTGAGCCTTGTCCCTCTCACTACTGATTATGCGCAGAGCACTTGTTACAGTTTCATAACAGTAAAATAACTGTAACTTTCAGTGAAACTGTGGTAATAAGCATGAATTAATACTGTATGCCAGATGTTTGCCATGCATGCAGAACACCACATTTCCTCTGTGAATTACCGTATTAATATTTTTCCATTTATGATTTGAATGAAGGCCTTTAACATTTATGCTTTTTCCATCAATGTTTACATACAGCTTTCGTCTGGGAAACGAGAGTGTCCAAAGGAAACCCACCCAGACACGATTCATCATTTGAAATCATATTGAATATCCTGCCAGGGGCCATAAACGACTGCTAAGTCATGTTATTGGGAGCCAGCGTGGGGCTAATGGTGCATCAGGGTAAACAATTACACTAATATACTGCCAATAGGGTTTTTTCATTTCAACGATCCCAGTGCAGTCCTTTTTAGTTTTTGTAAGAACAGGAACTAATCTCTCCTTATCTCACGTGATTGGATACATCTTTCCCAAGGACAAAGTCATTTGGTAACATTTATCATTATAGAGCTGCAAGTTGGAACAGAAAACTTCTTTGCTGAGTTATGATTCACAAAGTCAGCTTTTGTCCTTGCAATGGAGTATTTACTGAGGTCTTGAGTGTGAACTGAACTCCACCCAATCAAGTTGGACATTTGTATTTGTCCTGTCTGTTTCACTTGTGCTGCTGCACTGTGTAAACATAGAGCAGCCTGAAAGGCCAAGGGGCCCCTGCATGCCTGTGGGGACGTCTTGGGTTTTGCTGGAAATCAAGTCATAATCTTGGAGCTAATCTGGGGCTTGCAGTGGAAACTCCCACACATGTAGAATTAACCTAAATTTAGGGTGTACCATGTTGGAGCTGGTGTTTAAAGGAGTTACGTAAAGTGAAGTGGTGGATTTGAGAAAAGACTGAAAACTGGTCTATGAGTTATGATAATGTATTAGCAACCAGGTACGCATTTCAATGATCAACATTATTCAAATGGGTCATAATCAAAAATAATCAAATCAAACGTTCAAGATTTTTGTGAAGACATTCTACATTGAGAAATATAGTCATATTGTAAACTGACCTAATTCATGTAATACATTTATATTTGTAAGTAAGTACGTAATTTATATAGTGCATTTTGCAGCACAAAATCACCTTAAGTTCTTTATAATGTTAAGAGTTTAAATATTTTTTCCATATTTGGCAGAAATGTGTCATTTACTTGATGTGCTCTCTTCTTGTTTTTAAATGTAGTCAATGTGCAAGTCATATTTCATGATTATTTTATTTTGCTATACTGTATATCTGTCTACTTAGATATACAGGCAGAGCATTTATTGTGAGAAAAGAAAACACTCATATTATTTCCCCATAATGTCAATTGGTTGAAAATGATCAATTGGATTTAAACATCATGAACTGTGCAAATGTGTATATATAATTATAGTGTAACAAGACAGAACGACAAACACGTATCCCAGGTCTGTTTTATAACAATATCTGTCTAGTCTTATCTATTTTTGGCTCAGACTACACACAACCTAAGTTATAGTCACTTTAATTCTGTTTTTACATTCTAAGTTATGTGCATACACTATTTTATTTACCAACTAATGAGACATTAATTAGTGGAAGTCAGCCCAATCCGCACGTGTTTATTCTAAAGTCAAGTGGTCCCCAGAATGAATGTAGCATTCGGTGACATCTTGTGGTAGGTGAAAAAACTACACATTTATAAAGTTGTAACAAAATGAAGACATCTCAGTTTCCTTCTTAGCTTGAATATATTTGGTGAGAGTAATCAGAAGGAAAAAATAAATGGCACTGCTTTTTGCCTCCTACGATTGGCCCTAAGTGCAGCTGTCGGTAAAGTGGTTTCATTAGGTGAGTTTGTTACTAACACACTATTCTGTTTGTCATTGGCAACATGCACTTATATTCTATCAAAGATAAGAAAAAACATGTGAGAAATAAAAGTGAGAAAAGTTTTATTAATATTCCCTTTGTCATAATGCACAATAAACTACAGCAAAATTATACCAAATTGTTAAAGTTTTTTCCAGATATGCAAAATTCGAATTTCTGTACAGCTATAATCAGGGTCTTGTTGGTCTAAAGGTATTTTCTTGATAGAAAAGCTCTGCTCCAGCAACTGAAATACAAAAATAGAAATAGAATGCATAAATGTATGGCTCCCAAAATAACTAATATTTGTATGGTCTGACCAAATTTATTTTAAAATATAGTGCCTAATGATCACTAAATTTACAACATTGAATTGTATATACTAGCGATAACCTTGCAAACTGCTGTAGTAGGCCATTCTTACCTCAAAAAAGATGTTCTCTACTTTGGGGTTAACGCCTTCTGTTCGTTGTTCATAACAACAAATAATACAAGTTTCTGGACCAGCCAGCAGCTTCAGTGTTTCCACTAAAGGGACAACAGCCTACGGAACACAATTTTAGTTATTATATGTGAGATTCTGTGTGGGACAGTGGTGCACACACTGTAATGCAAGTCAACATTAACAACTAAAATATCCAACCATTTTAATTTGTGAGACTACCTGTTCATAATAGATGCAGTCTGCCATGAGTATGTAATGTGGATGAGGCATGAAGTCAGACACATCCTCGCCCCTTCAAAAAATGACAAGACATCTATTACAAGTGTGAAATCAATTTACATTTTTATTATAATCAATGAAACAAAGAGTAGTTTACAAACCATTTTAATACCTTTGCCTTTATGGATCCCTCATTGACAAGACCTTGATTTTCCTTAATGTTTAAATTCATCAAGGCCTCCAGTTCTTCCAAGTCTGTCACATAAACATGAGCCCTAACGCATGCGCACAAAATACCATATACACATGAATTATTAAAGATAGTAAGGTTTAAATGTGAGACTAGGAAAACCTGCAGCTTACCCCAGAGTAGCAGCCATTAACCCCACAACTCCTGTGCCTGCCCCCAACTCCACAACCCTCTTTCCAGCCCAGGCATTCAGCTCTGTGGATGAATCAATGAACTGTTTTGTCTCTAAATACTTGGCAAGAGCAATGGCTGCATCCCACACTACACAGCCCACGTCTCCTGTGTAGCACTGTTTAAGTTTTAAGCAAGATCCATCTTTTTTTTCAAGTTCTCTAATAAAATAATGGTCCGGACTCTCGTGCTCCGCCATGTTGTTTACTACCGGAAATAAACTTAGCGATTTCCGGTTTGCCAAAATAAAGCAACACAGGTTTTTGTGTAACTTTTATACATTTTATGAGAACTAACGTAACAACAGTGCTCTGCTCCCCCCGCTACTGCTACAAATGTGAAACGATATTCATTTTCTGTAAATATCTTATACACTCATGTACTTTGCTCTACAAGACATCAGAAAAAGAAAAAAATCTTACGGCCTGTACATACCGCAAGAGCAGCGAGTGGCAAGTAACTCTTGTATACACATTTACAGTCTCTGGTATACACACCGATAGAGCCCAGAGACGCGGCCGCTGCTGATCTCCCTGTGTGGTCTATGGGTTAAACAACACAGTGTCCAGGACTAGCTGACCCCTGCACACACTGACAGCACTGCTTGCTTTAAAAATAAATAAAACACATCATCAACAACAACAGGTATCTGTATATGACCTTGGACAAAATGTGAGTATTGTTTTATTCATTACATTTATTTTAACCTGTCCTGTTTTGACCTGTCCTACTCCACCCAGCGGCTACTCCACCTCTGCTGCTGTGACATTTCCTACTCCACCCAGCGGCTACTCCACCTCTGCTGCTGTGACATTTCCTACTGCACCCAGCGGCTACTCCACCTCTGCTGCTGTGACATTTCCTACTGCACCCAGCGGCTACTCCACCTCTGCTGCTGTGACATTTCCTACTCCACCCAGCGGCTACTCCACCTCTGCTGCTGTGACATTTCCTACTGCACCCAGCGGCTACTCCACCTCTGCTGCTGTGACATTTCCTACTCCACCCAGCGGCTACTCCACCTCTGCTGCTGTGACATTTCCTACTGCACCCAGCGGCTACTCCACCTCTGCTGCTGTGACATTTCCTACTGCACCCAGCGGCTACTCCACCTCTGCTGCTGTGACATTTCCTACTGCACCCAGCGGCTACTCCACCTCTGCTGCTGTGACATTTCCTACTGCACCCAGCGGCTACTCCACCTCTGCTGCTGTGACATTTCCTACTCCACCCAGCGGCTACTCCACCTCTGCTGCTGTGACATTTCCTACTCCACCCAGCGGCTACTCCACCTCTGCGGCTGTGACCTGTCCTGCTCCACCTAGCGGCTATAACACCTCTGCTGCTAAAGTGCTGTTACATTTTTTTTTTTTTTTACTATTGTTAGCTACTTTTAGAATGTATTTATTTGTTTTGTTTGTATGGATGGATGTGTTTCTGCGTTTACTGGACACCTGAATTTCTCCTACAGGGTATCAATAAAGTATTGATCTAGACAAGAACAAAACGACAAACATGTAACTTAAGTCTAAGTCTGTTGTCTACAGGACATTGGGTATGTGTGTTTGTGTTTTTCTCCCAGTGAGGTGGATCTTCTGAGTGTGGACAGTGGAGAGGTAGCGGGGAGGAGACCTACACATGTGATTTGTTGATCCAGAGAAGGCATTTGTCAGTGTTCCCTGGATGTCTCTTGGCTGGTTTCCTCCTGTTGCACTTCTCATCAGCTGTTTCTGCATAAAGCTGGAGGGCAGCGCAAGACTTTATACAGACACATTTTAGATGTGAGGTAGGCCAATTTCACTGCAATGTTTTTACATGAGGCCCACTGCTGTTGTCTCATCTCTATTCATCCCTTTTTCTAGGTCCCTGTTATAGTAATATGTCTCCTGGGTCATTGGGGGAACCCAAGCAGATACTGTACTTGAACCCCTCCAAGGGCCTCTCTGCCAATGGAAACGGCCAGGACTTTCCTCCTGTCGCAAACCATGGCAGACCACCTGCACTCTAGGTCCTGGTTCCACAGGTCACCTGCTCTGGACACTGCGAGGTCTGATGGTGATGATCGATGTAAATGAAATGTCACAGTCTGGATCTACTCCTCCTTGTTCCCATTTCTCTGTCCTGTCTGGGCTTGGCTCTCACATGTTACTCAAGATAAGGGAAGCAGTTCTGCAGCTAGTCCGACTGCTCACCTGCCTGCCTCTTCATCTGCCTGCATGCCCAACATAATTTACAATACAATACAACTTTTCTTTGACTAAATGTGTGTCTGCTTTTTTGAGCCATTTACACCTGTAACATGAAACTGTTATTGCTCACCTGTCTTCTTCTGAAGGTTCCTCATGTAAAAGCCCAACAGTTACAGTAGAAGGTAAAGTGCTCTTAAAACTTGCACACAACAGAAAGTGTGTATCACTCAGTAAGAACACCTTATGCATTATGTACTGATAATGAAACAACAGCATACAATAATAATACACACACACAAGAATAATTACTTTTTACAATATAAATTGCCATATAAAATTATCTAAAAGTATAATAGTCAGACAAAAAGTGCTGTCTAGAAAACATTGTATCTTTTATCCTTTATATTTTGGGCTGAAAGCTGATTGACTGAGTTAGGGGGGTCCTCTCTTTTTCACATGTCTGTTTGAAAAAGCTGAATGTGACAGAGGCCAAAAATACATACTGTGAAAACTAGAAGCAAACTGGAGGATCTATTTAAAACTGTGAAAGATTGAGTAAAATGTCATACAATATAATAAACAAGGTTTCCACATAAAATAAGAGAAAATACAACAGATAAGGATGAAAGTGGCAGGATAAAATAATAATAATAATAATAAAATAAATAAAGTCACGCACGCGCCATAACTTTCCCGCGTTTTTTTCAACTACAACAGCAACGCAAGGTAGGCTAAGGAGAGCTAGCTTCATTTATCTGCATTTTTACACGTAAGATAACATAGCCCAGTGGTAAATTGTGTGTATTATAGGAACAGATTGCGATGTTCCACAGCAGCACAGACGAGGTGACCCCTGGTGGTGACTCCCCAGACTCCTGTCGACGGTCCATGGTTGGGACATCGACCTGGAGTGGCTTAAATACTAACACCTCCTACGGTCCACATTCAGCCTCGTCAAATTCATCCCATCTGAGCGGAGAGGGTGCCAGCTCCAGCTCCAGCTCCAGCTCCAGCCATGATCTGTCATATCCAAGAATGGCCACACTAGGTAAACACGTTTTAAAGCTGGGTTACCTGATTTTGAACCCGCAAAAACAATACAATTTTCTTATAAAATCTATCCAATTAGTTCCTTGCTCACATAATAGTTTGTTTCTATCGTTACTTTTCACATGCATGCGTTTTTGGCCTTTGTGACAATTTTATCTTTTCAGCTTTTTCTGATTGAACCTGAGCTCTCATCCCAAAGCATCAAAATAGTGACTCAAAAAGATGTTTTCTTTTCTTTTTTTTAGATTCTTTATTTTCAGACAGTGAATTATAGGTGTACAATACAGGTTTAAAACACTTAAAACTTACATAGTGATTCCCAATCCTTTTAGCCACATCTATATTTAAGGTACAATATATAGGAGGATTTTCCCAAATTTTAGGAAAGAACCACCCTTTCCTCTCTCTGTTCTTATTTGACGGGCAACTTTATCACCAGAATGATTGACATTTTGGAGGACCAATAGTCTTGATCCACCTGGAAGTAGAGAATGGGGGAGATGAAATAAAATCAAATACACATTTAATAGGCATTCTACAAAAAATACAATTCAAAGCAAATTTCACATAACAGTAAAAGGGACAAAGATAATTTATTTTGGCTAATAATGTTTTCTGATAAGATGAAGACTGCATGTTGTTGTCCGATTTGTTCACAGAATATTACTTATATGAGACTCTTTCTGTTTGGACAAATGATAATAAATAGGTTTAAAAAAGATGTAGGTACAGAGTTTTAATTCTGATTTGATGTGATTATTTTGTGACCTAATCGTCGTTGTCTCTGTGTCCCAGGTCACCTCCTTCAAAACTGCAGATCTCGCCATCCAGATCCATCCGTCCTGGCCACAGACAGTACCTCTACTTACAGTCGAGGAGATACACCAAGGCTTAGAACCCCAAGAACTGCCAGAACACCGCAGGCTGACTATACCGGTGGTTGTAAATCAAATAAATAATATTTTGAAGCTGTCTTTACTCGCTTTGATTTATTACAGGTAGTTCCTCTGCAACATCAGCTACCGGGGCATCTGTGATCGTGGCTGTGGTGGAGGGACGTGGCCTGGCGAGAGGGGAAATCGGCATGGCATGTCTCGACCTGAAATGTCCTGAGCTCATCCTATCTCAGTTTGCAGACACGGGTACTTATGCCAAGGTAAGCATTTTGTTGTTGTTGAAAAGACCTGTCACCTAAGCCAGTAATGATAACTTATTTTTGTGTGCCATTTTGTTCCAAGGTTATAACAAAAATTCATATTCTTGTGCCATTTGAGATACTGATGCCAGACACAGCGAGCGAAAAAGGAAAAGGCACAAAGCTTTTCAACCTGATCACTGAGAATTTCTCGGTAATAATCAAATGCATTGCAAATAAAAACAATATTGAATTATCTTTGTTTCTGCTCTTTTATCAGGGAGTAGGCTTTACATCTATTCAGAGGAAGTACTTTAACGAACGAAAAGGCCTGGAGTACATTCAACAGCTGTGTGCTCCGGAATACAGCACAGTCCTGATGGAAGTGCAAGCTAAGTACGCTCACGCCACAAATCTGATGGTAGTAAACTAACTTTCCCCACTGCCAGGGCCATACCAATGTCTAATTTATTTGACTAGGAATATCAAGTTTATTTTACTTGATGAGAAACTCTGTAAATATCTATGACTGCATTATCAAGCCATTTTTGTAGGAAGTCTCAAGGTTTTCTTCGTAATCAGGGAGGATTCTTGACATTTTTTGACTCACCATTTCCGATCCAGCAGCTGTAAATAATGTGAACTATGCCTTTATTATATGTGACTAAGAGGTGATAGCAGTACAACATACAGTGGTTCCAACCATTTCCCCCTTCTATTGCTGGGTTACTTTCAAATTACAAGAAATTACTGCAATTTATATACACCATATTACTAGTTCCTCGCTCCCAAAATGGCTGAGTCTATCACTAGCTTTCACATACATATTCTGTCAGGAATGAACCAGACAGAGACAGATTGTGGTGCGCCAAACTTTGGAAGTTTCTCTCAAGTTCCAGTGGTTTCAATTGTTTCTTTCTCTCAGACAGAATAAAGGCAGTACACAGTTTATATAGTCATTGTCACGTCACCCATCGAAAGACATACGTGTCACACAGAGACAGTCACGAGTATATCATTGTCAAAACATGGAGTCCAACAGAGTCCTTGTGCTTGTCCTGCATGTAGGTCAAATCGCTATCTAATCCCAACAATACTTTTCTTAACTTCTTTAGCTCAGCTTTTTAAGACAGAAAAGAAAAATAGAGAGGATGAAGACAGCATGTTGTGTGCTTTTACTTTGACAAGATTTTCTCTGTTGGGACAAAGACAATTAAAAAGGTTATGTACCCCAGCTTTAAATGGGTTACTCTAAATTGTCTTTAGTACGATAATAATTTTTACTCGGTCAAACTTGGGCCAGTAAAAACTTCAATTCAACCTACGCCCATGCCCACTGCACTTCTGCTGTGATCCAGGTACTACTGTCTGGCTGCAGCTGCTGCTCTGCTCAAATACTTGGAGTTCATTCAGAATTCTGTGTATGCCCCAAAGTCCCTCAAAGTGAACTTCAAAGGGAGTGAGCAGACAGCGATGATCGACACGGCATCTGCCACCAATTTAGAGTTGGTCGTCAATAACCGAGATCACAGGTAACAGCAATCAACATAAACAGATTGACACGAACCTCATCATGTCATGGTTGTCTTTTTTTGTTTGTTCGTGTTTTGTTTTGTATCGTCTGTTTCGTCTTTTTGAGTTTTACTTTACTTTTATTTTTACTTTTGCCTGCCCAGCCTGATGTGTTTCACTTGTGCCTCCCTGTTAAAGGTGGAGTAAGCAATGTTAATAGCTTAGCCGTAGCACCAACTCGAAACCACTCCCCCTCTCCCCTCGCCTCTCATCCACACACCCAACATCCACTAAACCAAACATCCAGAATTTTCTTTTCTTTGTCACAACAGGGAGAGTGGGTGGAAATTGGCATTTTCTGTTCAGCCCTTTTAGGTTTTAGAAAATCCGATAACTTAGGTGCGCGGACTTAGGTGCGCAAGAAACAGGAAGAAGATAAAGGGGTTAAACGCATCCCATTGGTTCGTTGGGGATGAAGGAATCCCATTGGTTTATTTTTATTGGCCCGCTCCAAAATATGTTTTATTAATTTTTGCAGACTATAGGCATCTGGTCACTTCCATTACTACTGTATTTGAAAACACATGATAACCTGTTTTCCCACAATATTTAAAACAAAATGCATCTGGAAAAAAATCACTGACTGCATCTTTAAAGTCCCTGTGCTCTTTCCCTCTTGCTGTCAGTCCATTCAGGGTTTGTTTCATGGTTTTTGTCTTTGCCCTCAGTTCCTGTGTTTTGCATTCAGTTTTGTTTTTGGAATTCTGTTTACTAATTGAATTATATTATTTTTGCAGTATTGTATTTTGGGGTCCTTCCTCCTTTCCACCATATGACACATTACCTATATTTATATTTCCTTAGGAGTGATCATACACTATTTGGAGTTCTTAACCACACAAAAACATCTGGAGGGGCGAGAAGGCTGCGATCCAACATTCTGGAGCCTCTGGTTGACGTCGATACCATAAACATACGCCTGGACAGCATACAAGAAATGTTACAAAATGAAGAGCTCTTCTTTGGTTTAAAAAATGGTCTGAGCCAAAACATTTGAATAGTGTGTGAGAATAACTGTACTTTCTGAACGTTTTTTGAATAAGTGTTCTCACATGCTTCTCACAGCCATAGGTCATTTCCTTGACATCGACCAGCTGCTTTCTGTTCTTGTTCAAATCCCCAAACAGGAAACTGTAAGTTCACAATATTAACAATCTAACTTTTATGTAATCACGTTGTTCGGGAAACGACTGATTACATTTTCTTCTGATTTGAGTCAAACCTATTACTCAAGTGTTTGTGTTTTAATTGTAGGTTCAAGTAGCTGAAGCAAAAATCACACATGTAATTCAGCTCAAGCATTCGTTGGATCTGGTGCCACGTTTGAGGGTAGAATCGCAGCATGTTTATTTCTGTAACTATATTTTAAATGAGAGGTCCTTGTTATTTTGTGATGAAATTGATTGGATTAGGCCGTTCTGAAAGAGTGCAACACTGCATTGCTAAAGGCATACAGCGCCTCACTGGAAGACAGCAGGTCCAGAACTAAATATTACGTTATTAATGGTTTGTGTGTGTGTATTTGAATGTCTCTTCTTTCTGCCTCTGTAGATTTGACCTAATCCTGGAACAGATCAAGACTGTGATCAATGACGACACGACATATCTCAAAGGGAGTCTAAACATGCGCACTCAGAAATGCTACGCAGTGAGGCCAAACATCAACGAGTTCCTGGACATTGCACGCAGAGCTTACACTGAAATAGTGGACGACATTGCTGGTACTTGTCTCAGTTCTTTATAAAATTGATGAGGAAACATATCACATTTATACTAACCACATTTGTTGAATTGGTTGATTGTTGATTGCACTTTACAGCACTTGTGAGCCAGATGGGAGAAAAATATGGTTTGCCGATGCGTACAAGTTTCAGCACTGCCCGTGGATTTTTTATCCAAATGAAGCTGGATGGAATGGTCTTGCAAGATGGGAAACTTCCTCCAGAGTTCATAAAAGTATTAGTGCCCCTCTGGAAAATATTTATATTTCAAAACTCCTCAAATGTTCTCACAATTTGCCCCACACAGGTAACCAAGCAAAAGAACCACTACAGCTTCATGACGGCAGACTTGATAAAGATGAACGATCGCTGTGATGAGGCTCTGAGGGAGATCTTTCATATGTCATACGTGTGAGCAGAAATTTCTCTCCTTATTGGATGTATGACCAACGAGTCTAGAGTTTAGAGTTTAATTTATTAACTCATTGTGTCCCATTGACGCATTAATACGTCAAATGCCTTTTTAGCTATTTTCACGTTCCCAGATGTCTATTGTATCTAATATGTATGGGGATGACTTGAGACCATATTTTATCGAGCCAGCAGGTGGCAGCATTTCTCTCTGAATGGTTTGAAAACATGTAGGTGCACATGTTGTGCCTCTTTTTTCTCAACTTTCTGGTGATTTCTGGTGATTTCAGTAAAACTTCCCTCTACTCAACGGAGGATTACAGGGGAACGAAAAAAGCTATAAACAAAATTCTTTTTGCTGAGGAAAGTAGACAGTCCATTCTTTTAGAATCTGGTGTCGGATTTCAGATAGTCATAGTACACAATATTCTGTGGGTCTTGAAAAATCAGTAAAAATCATCATAAATGGCTGGCACTGTGGGAGTACCTGTTCTGAAATAGGTTGGCATTCAATGAGTTAAGGAAACGAGGCAGTTACAGTTACAAAAACATGGCTGCACCAGATTTAGCACCATCCTACTTTCCATCTGTTGTCCTGGACAATAAAATCATATAACATACATATTAAAACACAGTTCAATAAAACAGGAAGTATTAATGAAGAATGAATAATAATAATAATGCGATGGTTTTATATAATGCCTTTTTGGGCACTCAAATACGCTTCACATTTCATTATTCATTCACTACTAAACTACACTTGTAGCCACAGCTGCCCTGGGGCACACTGACAGAAGTGAGATAACCAGTATGTGCCATCTGCCAAAATATCACCATCAAAAATCACGCACATGTCAGACTAATCCCTTAAATTGGATCCCTTTGTAATGGCTTTGTAATGTACTGTACTGTAGATGTATTTAAGTAATGCGTTATGGCCACTAGAGGGTAGACTCGTGTCTCTGTTTCCAGCCGTTAAACTTTGTCTTTTCGTCCCCTCACAGGGTGATTTGCCAGTTACTGAGCTCTGTCTATGAACACATCCACTGCCTGTACAAGCTGTCTGATGCTGTGTCCATGCTTGACATGTTGCTGTCACTCGCAAACGCATGCACCATCTCAGACTATGGTGAGTATTCATCACTTAAGCCACTCTACACAGTCAGTTGACCTTAAGGAAAAGTGAATTGTTCACTGTAGGATTTGTGTAAGCACATGATGCAGACAAATTCACTCCTGACAGGCAGAATCCAGTGCACAGACTTGGCAGCTCCACTCGCCTTACTTTCTTTGTGTGTGGGTTGCGAGCAGCACTAAGTCATTCAGCCTTGTGGGTAGTTGCACTGGCCCTCAGCTGTTTCTGAGTGTCTCTGCATAGACACGTGCTGACTGCCTGCCCCCCTCCTTCCCAACCTTCTTTCACTCACATTACCCCCGTTACATAAGTGCGTACAGGCACACACTGTTTTAGTGAACGCCTAACCCAACAACTATTACAACTGCTCTGCATCTGGAAGGGCACACCTTTATTAACACTACTTTGAATTAATCTGCTGTTTGCTTTGTTCTGCCAAACTAATTCTTACCTGCATGACCAATCAGGGAACATACATCAGTTCATATTAGAATCGGATAGGCACTGCAAAAAGTGATAAGTGAATAAATAAAAAAATTGCACAAATTTGGCTAAATGTATCTTAATTCAAGCACATTTTGACTGACAAGATTCGCCAATGGGACAAAGCAAAATTATCTTAGCTATGATAGATAAGAAAAGAAAATAAGGCAACCATTCTTGGAATTTCAGGAAAGAACTGCCCTCTTCACTTTTTATACAAAACTTTCTGGTCTTAATTGATGAGCACGTCTCACCAGAATGATTGACAATTGGGAGGACCAATAGTCTTGATGATCCACCGGGAAGTAGAAAATTCTCCTATTCACCTATAAGATACAGACCACTTGATTTACACATTTATTACCTCATATTTTATATTTTCTTGCAGTGGGCTCAAACAAGAATTACTATTCCTTTTTGGTCGCAATTCATAATTTTTTATGATATGTTTGAACTGTAACTTTGTTGAAATGATGACCAAAATAAAACAAACAATCGATCAATCTATTAATTAAATAATAATAACTGTTTGATTTGACAGTGCGTCCAGAGTTCACCGATACCTTGGCCATCAAACAGAGCCGTCACCCTATTCTAGAGCGCATCTCCGGACAGCAGCCGGTGTCAAACAATACCTACATCTCTGAGGGCAGCAACTTTGTCATTATAACAGGGCCCAACATGAGCGGAAAGTCCACCTATCTCAAGCAGGTGGCGCTGTGTCAGATCATGGCCCAGATCGGTATGTATTTTGTATGATTACGTTTTTTGTTGTTTTTCCAATCACAATGAATATTAACTAGTGATATCTTAGGATCATTTGTGCCTGCTGAGTATGCATCTTTCAGAGTGGCTGACCAAATATTTACTAGAATAGGTGTGGATGACGACTTTGAAACTAGTTCTTCCACATTCATGATGGAGATGAAAGAGGTATGGCGTCTCGTTGATGGATGATAATTGTTTCAGACGGAATGTACTCCCCATGTAATCATTTCATCTGCATTCAGGTTTCCTACATAATACACAACGTCAGTGACAAATCACTCATAATCATCGATGAACTGGGTCGAGGCACAAGTGCTGAAGAAGGGATCGGCATCTGTCACTCAGTTTGTGAGTTCCTCTTGAACCTGAAGGTAGTGTTTTCATACAGTAAAAGCAGATTCTTTGTCCCTTTATTTTGTTTATCATTTTTCATGGTAATGGAACAAAATACCACAACAAATCAAGAAAACAGTAATACATTCCATGAAAAAAGAACAGGTGTAGAATGAAGAAAAGACATCTGATCAACTCCTACCCCATTCTTATGTCAAGAAATTTACTACATTAATTCTAATAATAATAGATAAGATACTTTATTAATCCCCGTAGGAGAAATCCAGGTGTCCAGTAGCAGCAGAAACGCATAAAAACAAAACAAATAATAGTTAATGCTAATAATAGTAATAAAATGCTGCAGTACTTTAGGTCACAGCAGCGATGGTGGTGTAGCCGCTGGGTCATCAAAATCATCACAATAATATCATGTATATGTCCTTAATACATTAGGCATTCACTCTGTTTGCAACCCATTTCCTGGAGCTTTGTCAACTGGAGTCTATGTATCCTAATGTGGAAAACCAGCACATGGAGATTCAACACACGCGCAACGCTGAAACTGGTGACGAGAACGTGGTCTTCACATACCTGATAAACAGAGGGCGATCTGAAGAACGACATTACGGTATAAGGCTATTCAACGTCTACAGACCGTATGTCTTCTCTTATGTGTGTTATGTGCAACTGTTTGCTTGTTTTAGGCCTCAAAGCAGCTGAAATGACTGCACTTCCTTCAGCCATTGTTCATGAAGCCAAGACAATTGCTTCAAATGTCAGCCAGCAACTCACGGTACAGTTATGGCTGTAGTCTACGATCATTTTGATGAGTGATTAGTTGGTTATTCCTTTGATTCCCAACCTCTTTGTTCGTGGCACACCTTGCACACCCCAGCTGAAACTCTGCAGCATTTATTAAGAAAGAAAAGTCATGCTTATCATAGTGTTTTACATAGAAAACCAAACAAGCACAAAAAAGAAATTTCTAATCTTCTCACATTCATTTCTTTTCAATTGAATTAATTTAATTCATTGATGAGTTGTTTGAAATACAAACACGCGGAAAATGTGTTTTAATTAGTGATTACAGCCATAAAACTTACATGTATAAGTCTCTGTATGGTTAAAAAATAAATGAATAAATGATAACAATTAGTTGACAACTTTTTCAAGAATTGATTTGTTGCATTGATTGAGTTTCTAGTTAATTAGCTACTGCACAATTACAGTTCATACGTATATAATGTGATGTTTTACTGTTACAGGCCAAGCAACAAAGTGATCCTGAGACACAGATTCAAAGAGCAGAGTACCACTTGGCAACCCGCCTTCTACAGACTGCAAGAAATTCGAGACTGGACCCTGGAAGTCTGCGTATGTACCTGAAAGATCTGAAGAAGCAGTATGAAGCAGGGCTACAAGCCGCACAACAATTAGCTGCATCTGTGGAGACGGAAGAAGAATGACTGACTCAGCCTTAGCACTAGGAGGAGCTCTCAAGTCTTTGGCTGGGCGTAATGAGAGCTTGGTTCTGGTAATCAAGTTAATGGTGATGTGGCTGTTATTTTATTCATTACTAAGCATATATTTATTCATGTGTACATTTTGTAAGTTTCCAAAATATTTCACTATTACAATCTTGCCCTTGATTGATTGTGTGTTTTGAGTACGTTACATTGCATACATTATTTGCATGGTCAGTTGTAGTATTACAACTCCTTTAAAATGTTTGAATGTGACCATGGCCGTGCACAGGATTGAGATCCATGAGGTCTGCGTTTTTTTCTAGAATACCTTTTCAACATGGAGTGTGAATTTTCTTTTTCTGAAAACTTTCCACTTTTGTCTACATGTTCAATTGGAAGGTTACTGTTCATGATAATGGCTTATTCCATGTCTATTTTACAAGTGTTTGTAGACATTGAATTTGTTATTCAAAACACCCCCAGATGACACAAAACTACACATCCTTAAGTGAACATCCTGCCATCAACAGTACATTTACCTGCTGTCAAGGCAAATGGGTTGTTGATATTCAGGGTGTCTCTCATTTACAGACCGTATGAGTCAGAACAGGAAGTTTAACATTCTCATTATGTAAATCTACGATACAATTTAGATGGCCCTGATTGTGACCAGTGTTCCCATCAATGATTGTGGACTGATTTAACTCGGGGGGGTCAACTGGGAGGAGTGGAGTTAGAGCTCCGTGGCTAGAATATATGTAAGTGTTGTGGCCGGCATACCCTGAGGTGGAAAACAAACGCACACCCGACCCGTAGCCATGCCCCGCCCCCGCACAGCAGAAACAGGCAGGAGCAGTAGTGACTGATAGTGGCGAAGAAAGCCAGGCTGGAGCTGCCCTGGGAAGAAGGCTGGAGAGTGTAGAGTCAACGCGGAGTTACGCCATTTCCCTGCTCTAGGGACAACTCACTCAAGCTACAGGTATGCCGCTACTTTTACTGTATTCACCGATTTGACACGTCATAAGGCAGCAGTCCGTATGACGGCAGTCCAGCTCCTTCCACGGGCCTGGGTTCGGCCCTTCTTCACCGGGGAAGGAAGGAGGCAGCTGTAGGCTCAGGTTTAGGACAGTGGGAGGCTGGGTCACCCCGTCAAAATGCCCGATCCACGCCTCCACATTGTAACACATGACAGATTCAACATTTGAGCTCATTTCTCCATTATTACCCCATCTCCTGCGAGCACTAATGGACTAGCTAACACTCATGTGGCCCTCACGTTTGGACTGTGTTAGCCAAGTTAGCTTCTCCTGATCTCATTCATAATACACATTTTGATCCAGTCTGTAAGCCCAAGCTATGTAGTCTTGATAGATTAATTATGTTGTAATATTAATCTAAAGTCCCACACATAATCCACACGTTCAGATGTAACCCAGCCCACTCTGTCGTCTCATGTTCTTTTTTTGACTTACATTTTAGCACTGAAATCTGGCTCGTAGTTAAAATAGCTCAAAAGACAAGAGCTACCCTGTCTACAGTATATTGAGATTATATTTTTGTGTTAAATAATCTCTGTATCCGCCTGTGATTTGAATTGACGTGTCCAAGTAGTACTGGGACATTCAGTACTCTACCCCAGAGAGGTGCCCCTTTAAATGGACTAGAAGTTTACTTGCAGCCTTGCTCCTCTTAACGTGGCTTCAAACTTGTTTAAATACATGCATTTTTATTTGATTATATTTATGAAGTTCTATATAGTTTGAGAATGTGCCTCAAACTCAGTGTCTTTCCAGCCTGAAATATTTTTGAGACTTATGAATGACAGCAACGCTCACTATTGTTCTAAATCAGTTGTAAATGAGTCATATCAAGTAGTTAATGTTTCCTCTGTATACTGGCCCTGGTGTACTTTGCTTTCTAACCTGCCAGAATACGGATAGTTATCAGGTGTAGAGAAAAATGTGTGTTGTCTGACTTTTGGACTGCATCTTATCAATCTCCATAATTTCTTTTAGCTATATATCCTGTATGAAAGTCATCCATGTGCTGCTACTGTGACTCACTCCAGTGTTACAATTTCCCTCTGAACTCACTCACTGCTGTGGCCAAGTAGGTTGGATTCCTGGGACAGCCAACAGCAAGAGAGGCCATTGTGAGTCTCATTCTGATGCTGGAACAGGTCTCACTTTTGTGTAGAGAAATTCACACACCTTCCACTTCGCCACAGGAGAATAACAATGCAGCAATGCTTTCAGACAGCACGCTCCACCCTTACACTTTAAGTGAAAGGCAGCTCTTGATTTTGGAGTTATGTCATGGCTTTAAATGCCCAGCCCTGAAGTTTCTTGTGTCACTAAACTGAAAATAGCATTAGCAGTCTTGTTGCATAGTTTATGTAGCCTTACGGTTGTAGAAGTATGAAGTTCAATCCAAACGCCAAATTTAGAGTTGTTCTGAATGGATTTGAAGTCTAAAAGTAAATTCAATCCAATCTATGGTTGTATTTTTGTTTTTGCTGTTTTCTAAATTAGCAGGACTTTACAAAGTTTGAGAGCAGAGAACCAAATGCAAACAAAGGAAATGCAATAATAAACACATAGGAGCCATTGGTCCACAAAACATAAAGAACGTACATACATATAAATGCTACGTAGTGTGTAGTGTATGTACTATCATTATTGCTGGTGTCACACAGCCTTCTAGGTCTAATTGTGCGCCCATTTACATTTTTATATTTTCTTAATGTAAAAACAATGCACAGAGCTGTGACCAGCTGAGTTTTATGTTTCTTTATATTTCTTTTAATTTGTCTATTAATGTGAAGCGTCATACCCTCAAACATCAAGCACCTGGTTATTATCGGTATATATGCAAGTGTGGTAAAATACTTAATACAACTGTCTCTGTGTTCTCCTCCTCAATAATTTTGTAAGTAATGCAGAGTATTCTAACTACTAGTGTATCCTGAGGCACATTGAGTTTTGTAAAATATGAAAAGGCGGCACGGTGGCTGAGTGGATAACACTCTCGCCTCTCAGCAAGAAGGTCCTGGGTTCAAATCCTGGTGGCCTTTCTAAGTGAAGTTTGCATGTTCTCCCCGTGTCTGCGTAGGTTTCCTCCGGGTACTCCGGTTTCCCCTACCACTAAAAATATGTACAATAGTTCTGGCATGCGCATCCTGTACTGGTGACCCTGCTCCCATCTCTGTGTGGAGTGAGAGGACAACTGCCCAAAAAAATAACAATTGTAAACCGCTTTGTGACTCTGGTCTGTGAAAGGTGGTATATAAATAAAGATTACTTACTTATGTAAAAAGGCAAATGATTATATTTGTTTGATGAAACGGTGAAATCCATCATATGCAGCATTACATTTACACACATGGTTCATGGGAGGTGTAAGTGGGAAGGTTAGTGCATTATCAAGGGTAATCTTCTTAATCCAAATTACTGACGAGGCCCAGGCTGCTGCACTGACTCTTCATTATGTGGCTTGCTCAGGTTTGCTGTGTTAGAATTTCAGTGTATACAAGTGTGCTAGCTTTCTACTGTAATATATTTGTATTTATTAGTGAATGTAAGATGGGGATTTCTTCTGCATTTCATGTGATAATGAAATGTTTTTGCAGAATGGCGGTGGATATCTACGACTCCCAGTACCTGCTCATCCTGGCCCCTTCCCTGGTCATTGCCCTCATGTTTCTCTTCTTCTGGCTCTTCATGAAAGAGACCTCCTACGATGAGGTTCTGGCCAAGCAGAAACGAGATCTGAAAGTGCCACCTGCCAGGCCGGACACTCGCAAGAAAACTGACAAGAAGAAGGGCAAGAAGAAGGAGAGCGCTGCCGTGGGAGGCGGCGGGGGAGGTGACTCTGAGGAGGAGGGGAGAGATTTTGACTTAGTTGAGGGCGCCAACAGCTCCTCTCTGGAAATGGACGAGGAACCGATAATTCAACTCAAAGCCGAGCCGGCCGTTCACACCTCTGCCGCCTATGTGGCCCCAGTGTCAGCCGAGCCTCCAGCTGGTGTGAGGGAGAGGAAGAAGAACAAGAAGGCCAAGGCGGCGGCTGCTGCTGCGGCTGCAGCCGCAGCTGTATCTCTGACAACAGCAGACGAGCCAGAAGTGAACGGCACCAAACCAGTCAGCACCAAGGGCGAAGCCTCTCTGACCGAGACTATGGAGTCCAGCCCGCCATCTCCCCTCGTTAACGCTGAGGTGCAACTGCAGGCTGCAGCTCCAGTCCAGGCTCAGCAAACTCCTCCTCCAAGCTCTGGGAAGAAGAAGAAGAAGCAGAAAGTCGAGCCCGGTGAGTGAGAAACGATATGTCTGCATGCCTACTCTACGTGCTCTATCGTAAGCCTCCAATGACGTTTTTAAGAGCTTCTTACCATGTTAGCCACCCCTTTATCCACTCAAAGTTGTTCTTTTTGGTCTCTTGTCTCTCATGTATGTTGAGTCATACTATTCTCCTCCTTATCACAATGTAAAATTTCTACACTGAGGATTAACCCTTTAGGTGCCAAAGTAGAATAATTACTACATGATTACCTGAATCCAGTACACTCTCTACTCTCTGAGCCGTTCTCTATCTCTTATGATGTTTAAGGTTTCCACTTTTTGTCTGTTTTACGTGACATTTCTGGAAAGTCCCAGAAGGGTTAACTTCACAATGACTGTTGATAAAATAGTCATTGCAGACTTGTCTTTAATTAAAGAGCCTGAATCTAGTTTTATTGATTTTAGTTATGCCAGCAAACTATGGTGCTCATGGTGTTTAGAAATGGTTCAATTGAAGACACTTAATTCATTGAGACGTGAATGCATCAGTTGCCCACTTTCTGTGAAACATTCAGTGACATCTTGAGGACTGTTGCTTCTGCTTCTTGAGTGAGTCCTCTTCACCATGAAGTGTGAACACGCCCTAAATGTCGTGGTCCAGCTTTGTAAAATTCTTTTTTCAAAACCTATTGAGCAGATAGAGGAAGCTGTGGGAAGGTAATGAAAAGGCTTCCACTGCTGACAAGTGTGAAAAATTTCCATTTGATTACAGTATAAATTGGATACAGGCCTGACCAAATGTTTCTTACACACATGTCATTCTTTTATACACCTGGGGCTGTAATTAAGCATTACTTTGATAATCTCTTAATTTTGAAGGGTTTTAGAATGATATTTTTTCAAAATGTATTTGAAAAAGAAAGATACAATGAGATTCAAGAACTTCAAGACGAGTTATGTTAAAATGTGCAATTATTTATTTAGAAGTGGTTTTAGGACTCAAACTATAGTTAATTACTAAAATGTAGTTGACTTGTTACAGCAATGTTCATAACCACAATATTCTCAGAAATTAATGGAATGTGTTTTTAATCTGAATAAATGTTGTACGTTATGGAAAAATCTATATCATCAGTCGATGTGGGGCCAACTGGTAAACACATTCACAGGCAGAGGAACGACCATACTTGTAAGGAGGTCTATGAGTCATTACACACACTTTCTCTTCTAGCACCAGTGGATGACCAGCAGCAAGAAGCTAAACCAGAGCAGCAGGCCCCAGTTCCAGTTAAAAAGGAAGCTCCCATTGTGGCTGAAACCAAAGCTGTGGACATGGCCCCCCCACCTGCCACCGGTGGAAAAAAGAAGAATGCGAAGAAGCAGAAGACTGAACCTGGTGTTTATTATACACTCGAGTCACCTTTCTGTAACGCATGGACATGTAACTACCTTTGTTTTACTTTTATCCAGTGGAGGAACCTCTGAGCGATGCCCCCATCAACCACCAGGCAACCAATAATGACAACATCCCACCACCCAAGAGCAGCAGCAAGAAGCAAAAGAACGAGGCAGATAAAGGTGCGGCCTTGTTCATTCTGATGTGTCCTTAAAATTATTGTACATATTTATGTCTCCCTGCTGTATATTTTAGAGAACGCAGTGATGAAGCTTAAGGAACTGCTCTCCGGTTTGTCCAGTCTGGCACTGTCCGACACAGAGGTTGTCAGTGTGTTGTCCCTTCTTGGACAGAAGAGCCCGAATGCAGTCAATGCTTGGCACAAGGTAAGACATGAAGATAAATATAAAAAAAACAACTGATATGTTAATCTACTCTTAGCAAGCTTCAATTGTGTATTTGTTTCATTGCAGACTGCCTCCAGGCCCGACCCAGCCGAACAGGAGCGAGAGAGGCTTTTTAACACACTCCAAGAAGAATCATCTATTGCAAAGGACAAAGTGAAACAGCTTAGCCAGGTATTGACGTTTTTTCTGATTAGATGTGCGGTTCCAACGCAGGATGAATCTATGCTCTCACGTCACACCTCGTCGGTTTCAGGAGCTCCAGGTGGAAAAGCAGAAAACCGGCCGTGTGGAAGCAATGATGAGAGAGCAGCGTGCAGCCATGGAGAAAGAGCTGGGGGGTATGCAGGCCAAGGCCCAGGGCAGCTACCAGGAGCTCCAGTCTATGCAGATAAAGGTAAAGCCTCAAGGGTTGTGGAGGTTTGCTAACATTGCATTTTGCTCTGCAGGCTGGAATAATACATGTGATTGAAAATGTTCAGTTTCAACAGGTGCGCGAGCAGCTGGAGACGCAGATCACCAGACTGCAACAGGAGAACGGCATCCTGCGTGACGCCGTCAGCTCTGCCACAAACCAAATGGAGAGCAAGTGAGCACTGCACACGCCTCACCTGCCTACGCCGTTTTTAAAATTCTATTATTGACACCTCACTCTCGTTTTCAGGAATTCTGCCGAGCTAAACAAGTTGCGCTCCGAATACACGAGCATGAGGAATGAACTTGCAGAAAACAAGAACAAGCTCCAGCAGGAGGAGCACCAGAGGGTGTCACTGGAGGTCAGCTACAAGCAGAACGTGTCCCAGCTGGAGGTAGGCTTATCCAGATGCACCGGCTGTTGTTTTAGCCCAGACTTCTTTTCTTACAGACGCCATAGAAATGAAACGGTCAAGTCATGCATGGCCGCTTGTGTTACGGTGATGTTACCAGCCTTAGCGAGGGGAAATGGGAGGTGGCCTGAGTGGAAATGCATGGGAGGAGCATGGGAGATCAAATCGGCACTGGTGTTTGTCTTTGGAAGCGACCACGTTTGAAGTGAAGCGTCACAAAGAGTAAACATCATTATCTTGCCAGCTCAAACCCGCAGCCCTCATTTTAACTGAAAGGGATGGTGTGCCACTATTATTGCATATTTATAGTGACCCTGTCGCTGTATGAGGGGTCAGCATGATGCCTTTTTTTTCCCCATCACGGTGATCTCTAGGATGCTATATATCATTTACTTGGAAGCCTTTCTCTGCTGAAGGACCCCCGTACCATTAAAACCTACAAAACAAGTAATCCTTGAGCTCGATAGACACAACTATGATCTAAAGTTAAGGCACCTTGATGACCACTTGTACACTAGTAGAGGGTAACTTCAATGTCAAATAGGCAAAAATAGAAACTTTCTATAGTTCACATGTGACAAGTGATGTAAAAAAATTGGCTAAATACTTAAAATGGCTAAAGGCATTTTGTCTCGTTCAAGGCTCAACTTCAAGACACAAAACGGCGATGGGAGGAGTTGCAGAACTTCCTTCACAGTGTCAGCTCGGACAGAGAAAAACTGCAGGCCTCGAACCAAGGTGAAGCCCCTACTCGCAAGTATTATTTTCATGGCAAGGCGCTGCGGTAACACAATCCGTTTATTCGTGCGGCCGCAGAGCTCCACACTCAGCTGCTTTCAGCGGAGACGGAGATGAACAACAAGAACAAGGAGATCCAGAACTTGCACGGGAGCCTGACCGACGCCATGGTGTCCAAGGAGGGTCTAGAGCAGAAGGTCATGGGGCTGCTGGAGCAATCTCAACAATGCACCACGGACGACTCTATGCAAGGCCGTGTCCAGGTCTGTCCACAGGGAGATGCGCTTTTAGATCTAAACTGAAAGAGAACTTTAAAAGGCCCAATGATTTGATGATGTCTCCTTTTCTATTAAGGATCTTGTTAACGAAAACAAAACTCTACAAGTCCAAATCGAGATGCTGCAAGCTCAAAACGCCACACAGGTAAGTGGGTCATGCTGAAAACTCTTAAAAAGCCCTCGCATGTAGGCTAATGAGATTTCTGTTTTGCATTCAGGCCACCCATGTCGCCCATATGGAGGAGCTGCAGAAGCTGTAAGATGTTTCTCGTTTTTCGGCATGTTTTGAAGTTATTTTCCAAGGCTGTTATTCTTTACGTGCCTTTCTCTTACAAACTTAGATTGGCCGATAAAGAGTTGCAGAGGAAAAGCCTGGAGGATAATCTCAACGCAGAGAGGAGCAGCGGAGCAGGCCGAGAAACAGACATGCAGGTACTAACACTGCCGATACTTAAAATAACAATAAACTGGTTCATTGCACTGGAGGAATTTGAGGAATCTGAAATATGCCCTCAGCTCTATTAATGCCTCTTTTTAAACAAAAGGATAAGGAATTGTTTGGCTATTTAATTTGCTCCACTGTACATGTTTGGTTTGCATTTGCATCTATAGATCGCAGAAGAATATTACTGTAGTCAACACATACACCAGTTCTAGAGCTTAGTTGCATAATTGTGCCACTTCCCTGCAGTCTGTATTAAAGCTGGGTTACCTAACTTTAAAACCACAAAAGTGGAACTATGTAAATAACATTCATGTAACTAGTTCCTTGCTCTAAAACTGTGATCACTGGTTGTCATATGTAAATATATTTTTCACATCATTTGTCACATCTTTAGATCTTTTTTTTTCCACACTAAAAAAGTTAAAAAGAGAGGGCCACCCTCACTCAGCCAATTGGCTCTCAGCAAATAGTCAAATGGTGACTCACAGAGCTTTCCAACAAAAATAGATTGCTTTCTAATAAGATGAAGGTGGACCACAACATTCTGCCAAGACGTTCTGTTGGAAAAACACAACATACTATTCATGAAACAAAAAAGTGTAGTACCCCAGCTTTAAGTTTCCATTTCCCTCTCTATAGACGCTGCACAATGAGAACGTGGCGCTGAAGGCGGAGCTACAGAATCTGCAGGCACAGATTTCTGAGCAGGTAACGTGTTGAGATTAAGCGTTCATTCCAACAATCTCCTCCTCTGGCTCTGTTGTGACACACCCTTTCTTTTTGATTCAAAGACGGCTTCTCAGATGACTTTGGAGCAGATCCAAAAGAGGTGTGTGTGCAGTGGAAAGTAAGTCGTCAGGTTCTGCTGCATATTTGGATAACACTTTTGCTCATGCTTCCTACAGTGTCCAAGAGAAGGAGGAGAGTATGAAAACTGTTGAGGGCCTACTGGAGAAGGGACTGATCCAAGTGGCGAACAAAGAGGAGGAACTGAAGGTCTCTTAATGTTCTATGCTTGGCTTTTTTCAGCTTGATCATACATTTTTCCCCATCATTTTAATTATACAGAGTGTACAGCAGCAGATGTCCACCTCTAATGCGGCGTTCAGACCGGATCATGCGTTGCGTTGGCTTTCAATGCAAAGTTAATGGTGACGTGCGTTCAAGTGTCGAAATGCATGTGCGTCTTGGAACTCACGCACGGAATGCTCAGTAGAGACGCACGGACTGCGCGGCGACGATGCACGCAGGACGATACATTTTGCTGAGCTTTTCCTCGAATGCTCGTGCAGCGACCAATCAGAGAGCCGCAAAGTGATCACGGGGACATTAGTGGTCTGAGCGAGCAGACTGAACATACTGTAAACAGCCAAAACAGGAGCTACACCAGGACTAAACCAGGGTTGACAATGGGGGACTCTGTACTTGTGAACATATGCGTTCTCGTGCTCCCGTGACTTTATGCAACTGCTTCAAGCGTGTTCGCTGATGCGGAAGTACCGTTTAATAATAAACGTATGGCGCACTTCCGTGAACACATACTGCTGTTATATAAAGTCTCTGGAATGTCTCTGGACACAGAGACCCTGCAAAGCTGCATTATTGGAGAAGAACGCCACTTCTGGCGCGCGCCAGGACTTCTGGTCTAAAGACCCCTGCGTCTGAAAACTAGAGTATGTGCGTCTGGTGCGCGGGCATAAGTGTTCCAGTGTTGGCGGTGTGAAAGCAGCTTAATGCAGGTCCTTTTGACATCTATGAGAGAAAGGAACGCGTTTGATTACAGATGTTTTTTTCCCCTTGTTAACGTCATCATGTGATGTTGTTGGTACAGGCTTCACGAGAAGAGTCCGAGACACTAAAGCAGGAGATAAATTCACTGAAGAAGCAGTTGGAAGAGGTGAGCCTCGCTGATCTTTGTTGCTACTCTTGCCTATCATCAATTCTTTATTGTAACTTGATCATTTGAACAATTCTAGTCATCTTCGGAATCCATAGTACAAGATTATCAAAGCCAGTAAGTAGTGTTCTTTTCCAATCCGTCACTTATTGACTTGTTCTGACCATTATGTCTCATGATGTACTCAAGGATTCAGGAACGGGATCAGAAGGTGCAGTCCCTACAGGAGACTCTTCAGGCAACACAAGCCAACTGTTCAACTCTACAAAATAGAGCAGAGGTATGGCATAATGCAACAAGTGAGGTCAAACATATAAGGCCTTTTTCCCAAACTGTGAAGAGTTTTCTTTCATGTGACAGTCACTGGACCAGACGCTGGCAGGCATGCAGGCAGATTTAGAGCAGCTCAGACAAAAGCAGACCTCAGAGCAGTCCACCGATTGTAGTTCCCAGCTCCAGGACCTCCAGCAGCAGTAAGATATTGTCCTGTGGAGTTGCTGGAAGACATCAGCTGATTTTACTTTGCTTACATGTATTTGTCTGCCTCACAGACTGGTGGAAAAGGATCGAGAGATCCAGGGACTTGAAGCTGAGCTCGAGTCCAGAACAAAAGACTTGAGTGAGAAGCTGGAGATGCAACAGGTGAAAAACACATTTGCTTTTTGTCCCACTTAATCTGACCTATTATTCAGTTTGTTTCCCAGAGTACTACACATTTTGTGTTTATAAGGGGGAATATTTATACGAAGTGTTCCTTTTGAAGAAATGTAATGCAACATTTGTGTATTCATCTCACTATTATAGCAGTCGACCACAGCAGTGCCAAACCCAGCACTTCTTGGAGAGTAAGTGTCTTTGTTCCATATTTCTGCAGACCGCTGGTATGCATTCACATCTCTTAAACTGGTTGTCATTGTGTCTCAGGTTGTCTGAAAAAGAGAAGCAGATAATAGATCTGCAGGGAGAACTGGCTGAGATGAGGGACTCTGTGGAGCTTCACAGAAGGAAGAACAATGTGAGAATTCTTTCCAATAACAGACATTCGTACAGTGCCCTTTGCGCTTTCACAATGTGCGAGGTACGCACACAATACCCTTAGTATGTCGTCTTTGTGTGTTGAATTTTTAAGTCTATAGAAATCGCCACCTAGTGACAAAGGGATTGTTTTGTATACAAGTTGAATGTTTATTTGGATGGTCTGATCTTGTGGGTATCAGAGCATTAGGAATAATGTTGTCCTTGAGAGCATGTCCACATGTCTTTCTCTGAGCACAATGCTGTTTATTAATATTTTGCCCACTTTATATTGTATTCACGTCTTCAGTGCATGTAGCTTTACCTTGTGACAGTAAAGTACTGCACCAACATGTTGGTTGGAGCGTGAGTGAAAAGCAGTAATGTGCATTTTAGGCCCATTCCCCAAGGCCGAACTGAAAGTGTCTCTCTGAAACTGACCAAAACAGGAGCTTCGGGAGAAAAACTGGAGTGCAATGGAAGCTCTGTCCTCCACCGAGTCCATGCTTCAAGAGAAACTCAACAAAACTGCTAAGGTCGGCCACCCCCCCCTCAGTCTGCTTCACTCTAGTTCCAATCGGACTCAATCCTTCAATTGTTTTCCATGAATGACTGCATCGACCATCACAGCTGCATACTCATTTGCCCTCATGTGTAGGCCCACTACACATGTGATGGTGCTGTCTGAAGGTATCACTTAAAGCTGATCTGCAGAAAACTGCTACTTTCACAAATCCTAGTTAAGATTTCTGATCCGGCTTCTGAAACTGAGTGGTCCTAAATGAGTGTGCAGTGACCTATGATTTCACTTGGTGTCATCAGTTTAAGATTCATGTCACATTGTGTTGTGTTGTTTTGTGTTCAGCATGTTTGCGCATGTTTGTTCCATCGTGCTCATCACTGATTTGTCCTAATGCACTCGTATGTTGTGTCATGTCAGCTTTGTGATATGTTCCTTAATGCTCTGTGCCCACGCCTAAAGAATGACTGATAACTACAGCAGAAAGCCCCTTCATGCTGACACGCAGCGCTAACTGGTCAGTTTATTAACAGTTGAAGGCTGTGTATGTATTTTAGTCGGTGTCAGAGAGTAGAGTACATGCTGAGCCATCAGCACCGCAGCTGCCTCTATCGGCCTCAGTATAGTATCTACAGTCACTAGATGTACGGAGTTCTGTGGCAGCTGTTCAATGTTGTGTAAAATTTTATATTTCTGATGCCCACAGCTGACTTAAAGGTGTTTCATTGTGGCCAGATCATTAGAGAGCCGCCTGATTAGTTACAGTTGTTTATATGATCCGTGTTTACTGCAATTGCTAAAATATAGAGCTTTTGTTGGATGTCCCTTTAGGAGAGCGATGCAGCCCTGGCAATGTGTCGAGATGTTCTGCACAGACTCCTGCCCCATGTGCCTCTGCCTTCTGAGCAGGTAGGGACTGAGAGTTGTCACACTCAAACATGTCACTTTTCTTACGCTTTTTTCTAACTCTTTAGAATCACCAGGAATGGTTTTGCCAGTTTGAAAAGGCGGCATCAGAAGCTCCAGCCGCACAAACCACCCCTGTATCAGGGGACTATGAGGTACACACAGTGCAAATGTGCTAAATGAGTAAACGATGAGCTGTTAAAATACATGTATGCATGTATTTGAAGGAACTGACTGAAAAACTGAAAGAAGCTGAAGAAGGCCAAAAGATTCTTAAAAAAGACTGTGAGACTTACAAGAAGGTGTTGGCAGAAACCGTGAGTCCAATTTCAGTATAAGAATATATTTCAGTTCCATATCTATACTTGAAGTCATCTCAGGGTCTTAAATCTTGTAATACTTAGTGATAGTGCAATGCCTCATTTGTCCACAGGAGGGCATCCTGCAGCGCCTGCAGAGCAGTGTTGAGAATGAAGAGTCCCGCTGGAAAGTGAAGCTGGAAGCGTCACAGGGAGAGCTGAGAGAGGTATGCCATAACGTAATCGAAACCAAATGACGAGCACAAGAACAGCCGTCATTGTTGATGTGTTCCTCTTCCTCTTTAGATGAGCCAAAAAGCAACGGAGCTGGAGCAAGAGATTGAAAGACTAACTGAAGGAGGGGAGCTTGATAATGTAAGTCTCTGCAATATTGAATTGCATGTGTGGCTGTGTTTTTGAAAAATAACCCGTTTTCTGGGTGGCACTTGCGTAGCTGAGACGGGAGAAGCAGCACTTGGAATCTGAGTTGGAGCGAGCGGAGCGTGAGAGTGCCACTTACGTGACAGAAGTCCGAGAGGTGGGTACATTTCACTGCTTTGTGCTGCACAAGCTTTCTTTGTCTCTTACAGATTTTATGTTATTGTGCTTGTTGATTTGTTTAAATGTATTTACGTGATTATTCCACTTGACAGTTTGCTGTAACATTTTAACTAAATTCACGTATGACTGAGCTGTCTCGATGGCTGTTTTTAGAGAATAACTGTCAGATGTCCCAGTGATATGGCCAGCACTACTCTCCATGAAAACAGCCTTTCAGTCTCTTATCAAGGCACACACTGGCTTTGCACCTGTAATTAAAGCTGGCTCAACCTACAGATCCAATAAACACACAATTTTAAACTTATTTCAGCTTAAAGATCTGTTGACTGAATTGCAGACCAGACTAGATGGTTCATATACAGAGGCCATCAGACAAAATGAAGAGCTGAGTTTGGTAAGCATGAGGGGACATCTTGTAGCTAGAGCTCCTTTAACATCTTGCTGCTGGTGCTGTTGGTGGTGTCCTGCCATTCAACATGGGTCTCAGGCTTCTTCCCTAACACTATTCTCATCATTCATAATCCTCCAATTCAAACACAACATGTACACGTTATTCTTTGTATATAATCAAAGGTTGTGAATGATGACTTGGTAGTAGTTTTATGACTAACTGGTATTTTACACCCTTAGAGCTTTACTAGTCTGTCTAATGGTGCAAATGGGATGTGGCTTGGGTTTTGGCACACTTCACGGTTTCATAATCAGAATTATGACGTTCTCTGCACTAAAATGTGCTGTTTGTTTCGGCTTCTAGTTGAAAACCAGGCTCACAGAGACTCTCTCAAAACTGGAGACTGAGGAGAATGAGCGGCAGAGGGTGGCAGCTAATCTCTACAAGGTAATAATTTATAGTTCTGTTTACAACACCAGCAAGAGAGATTTACTTGATTACATATATTACAGATATATTAACCGTATCTCATGAAAATCTAAAACTCATAGCAGATAGAGGCCTTGGCAGATAGAGGCCTTGGCTTAACATGGGAGGAAAGTATGGCATGTTTTGGTCTCACAGTGGTCTTATCTCTTGGCTCAGGCTCAACAGTCTGTGGATCTGATCCAGGGTGAACTGTCCAAAGTGTCAGATAATGCGGATGAGCTGATTGAGAACAGCACTATCTCATCACAGAATGTACGTACAGTCCACTTTTGCTGTGATACATTTCTTTGTGCCCATAATGATTCATATTTGCTCTTTCAGGAGGAAACTGAAAGAAAGGAAAAAATGGCCGCAGGATTAAACCAAACGGTAACGGAGCTGCAGCTTCTGCTACAAGCTGTAAGCCAGCAGCTCTCCAAGGGACAGGAAGGAGTTCGTTTTTTCAGACTTATGTATTTAATTTCTTATGAAGTATGCATGCTTATGTACTAATGCTCATCTTTCTTCTCTCAGGGGGCAGACAAAGATTTGCCTGAGTTGTAGTGAGATCCTCACTCATGAATCGTCTTTGAACTTTGGTCTCATCACTACTACCTTCTCCTCAAACGGTCTTAGCCACGCAGTCACTTCCTCTCACTCTCTGGTCACCTCACTGCTCTTGAGCATCCTCTTGAAGCTAGCTGGAAGCGTGCTACGGTCACAGGGAACAGACATGTATTCCACAACTCCAGACACTGAACCAAAATCGCACACACGACACCACTCCTTCCACATTCCTCTCCTCCAGCAGTCTGCTCATTTTATTAGAACATTATCAGCTCTTCTTGTGGCACCCATTTCTCTGTTTAAATCACACATTGTTTTAAATTGACTAAATACTTCAGTAGATTTTGTTATTTTTACTTTGTCTCAAAGGGCAATTATATATTTGATTATTGATCAAATAAACTGGTTTTCATGAGTTGCGTGTTAACTGAAATATATTTTAATACATACATTGGGACCTGCAGAGGGACAAATTTTTTTTTAATATATCAAACTACATTCTGCTATTTTGATGAACTGAAAACATTGTGCACACGTTGGATCAATACCGGGAGGAGAGTACGGATATTGGAGCATATCAGAAGGTCACCATTTGGGGATACAGGGTAATATTGCACACAAGTCTATACTGTATCTCCAACTACAAGGATTATGTGGCCTGTAAGACAAAGGGTGACATCAGCTCGGTTAGGTGTTGCAACTGGTCTAGCGTCCCATATAATCTGTAAACACTTGTGATAGGCCTATATTAAGTTCATTAACACTGAAGTTTTGTTATTTTGTAACAGGTGATGTTAATAAAAAGGGATGATTGATAAATGTTTTGGTTTTTCACTTTGTATTCGTGAAGGTACTATATGTCTGACTGTAATTGTCTAAAGGCCTCTGATTTATGAATCTAGCTCAAGCGCCCAGTGCGTAGACAGCCTTGCTTTCATCTCTTGCATGTTAATGGAACCCTAACATCGGGCCGCTTGTACAGGCTGTGAGGCGGGAGGGGGTCAGGTCAAGGCCGTGAGCCACATGGGATCAGCACATTCCTCACATTCTCCCACACTGTCATGCTGCAGTCAGCTGATTGGAGATCTGGCTCTTACCATCATGGAAACAACCAGACGCCACACACAACTAGCTCTGCGATGTCATACATAGAAATGCTATGTATATCATAATGAATGTGATGGTGGGCTTTCCTCTAGTGTGCAGTATGTTATTTAAAGGCTTCATTTAATTTGGAACGCATGCACATGGTTTCTTCTATCTCAAACACTGATGGAACTAAGGAATAGCCTGTAAATATACTCTCTAACTGTTGGGATTCCTTTACAATACTTGACCAATTTGAATTGGCCTTAGGACCTCAGACAGTCTGACATTTTAAAACTGCTAAACTAAAAAGTTAATGGTTTCTTTGTCCTGCCTCTGTAGTCACACCTCGTGCTTCTAGTCTCAATTATGCAATAATTGCTTTTTGTAGATCTCAAAATCTGACCACCCTCTCCAGCCTAAACATGAACGTAGACACACCTCCCAAGCCCACTCCCTGCATCTGCTCTCCATCAGAGTGGTATGTGCCAGAATGTCTTTGATCCCACTTCTCAGCTCAAGTCAGAGGGGTTAGTCAGACACTGAAAGACTGGTGCTCTTGTACAAGTACAATGGGCTGTAAAGGGAGGAAGAGAAATGGCAAAAGAGCCGCAAAAGAGCCACAAAAGGAGCATTTAACATTCATAATGCCAACTTTGCCCACAGGCTAAGTTTACCAGGATTAGGCTTTACTTTTTGGCAGGAACACTGACCAGTCTTTTCTCACTGCTTTCACATGAGAACTTTTGTGACCCCCTACTACCTTTTGTTTTTGTGTCAAATGTTATTGCACTTTGAAATGGCACACCAGTTCAAACATGAGGCTGTAATTGCAGAGGCAATAGTCCCACAGTTGGAGTCTGAAGTTGTAACAGGAGCCTCCAGCTAGGCAGGGTCTTGTAAAAACAAGACAGTGGCTGAGCAGTTAACTGGGGGCAGAGAAACCACTGATTAGATCATAGAAAAGAGTAAGGTGATGTGTTTCAGAGATGTGATAGGAGGGACATTTGAGATGACATCTTTCACACAAACCGTGTGAACTTTGACGAGAGAGACTACTCATAATTGTATGTTATTAGAGGTAAACTGTGATGTTCAACTATTGATATAAGGGACTCATTGATACTATCAAATATCTGCAGATCCAGTAACATTTGATGGATTGAGTATTGTTTGTAAAACCCTGATTGGGATTTAATTTTAATGTACATACGCTACCACTCATACAAAGGGGTTCTGTGGTAGCAGGACAAATAACTAGATTACAATATGGGTCCAATCTAGATGTACTATTTTCAGCATATTGGCAGATATTGAAAGATAAATTACTAAATGACTAATTTACTAATTACTATGTCGAGATTTAGCAGACAGAGACGGATCGTGGTGTGCCAAACTCTGGAAGTTTATTTAAGTTTCTCTCAAGTTCCAATGGTTTACCTTGTTTCTTTCTCCCAGACAGAATAAAGGCAGTACACAGTTTATATAGTCATTGTCACGTCACACATCGAAAGACATACGTGTCACAAAGAGACAGTCACATCATAGTCATAACATGGAGTCCTTGTACAGTTCTGCACGTAGGCCATATTGCTATCTAATACTAACAACTAAACTAGACAATCTCATAAAATGGGTACAACAATAATGCATTCTAGCATATATATTTAATCTCAAGTGACATTCTTACACCACAGGCTCTCAACAGGAGCCAGTACCACTAATGTGATATTTTAAATGAGCTTTGTGGAAGCCAGGGGTGGTCTGTTGTAAATTAGGTTTGTGAATCCCCTCACTGCCTCCAAGAGCTGGGAAAGGCCGTTCCTCAGCCCCACCTCACTTGTGTAGTTACATTGCACCTCAATTATGTCATGTATGCCTGGAAACTTTTTTTCTGTTGAGTATACAAGACACAAGGGGAAATCTTGACTCAAAATCTCCCACGTATGGAAACTGGAAACTTCATTGATGTGAGATCCCTTTAAGAATTCCTTATTGTAGTCTTTGTTTACACAACACTAACTCGGGCCTTTGGACATCTCGAGGTACCACTCGATCCTGATATATGTAACATAAAGTAAAGATTGGCAATTTAAAACTACCAAACAGAGTAGATTATCGTCATAATTCCTTTTTGATACAATATCTAGCCGTCTTTCCACTTATTTACCTGTAAACATCTGTATGACTGAGTTGTATTGCAGACGCACCCCTGCGGAAAGTGCCCAGGCTCTCAATGGTACATCCCGGGGCCTTTCTGCTTGCTGTTTTCGTATCTGCTCATCACAGCACATTCAGCCGCCAACTAACTTACGATATGCTATGTCACGCTAAGGAAGTTTCAGAACGCTATCGTTAGGCATTTCCAGACTCCTTCACGTCCACAGTTTCGTCTGAGAGTGGATTTGTGCTATGAGCAGACCGCGTACGGCTCTCTGGACGCGGTATAAGTGCTTATTACCGTATCGCTAAGGCTAAACAGTGACATGTTTTCGTCGAGCCAAGAGGAGTACTGCGCCCCATCCAAAGACCCTGTAAAATACGGGGAACTTGTGGTGTTAGGGTAAGTTTATAACAATTTTATATTTTTTTTGAAAGACTATTTGGGGTGACGTTTTATTTAATTATTTTCTGGTTTTGATGATTAAGAGTTCGCGAGAAGTTTTGCGTGCGGGTTCAAACTAACTAGTGCGATTTTACGCCGCAGATTCGTCAAAGTTTCTATGATATTTATTGTTTTACCTGAATAATGTTAAACTAAGTGAATGTGGACATCTGATAGTCTCACGCTACCTTTGGACCCAGACACGTGTGCAATCATATATGTGCAAGTTTTTTTTTAATTTTAGTTTTAGTTTTTGATGACGACGGTAGTTTCTCTTCTTGGACCAGGAAAACACGCGATTGCTCAATGGTGCGTTGCCAAACTTGCGCTGTGTACTGTGGGATTTTTTCAACTTGAGAAACGAAATCGATCCCATGCTCGGCAGCCCTGGACACTTTGCTCTTTTCTTAGCTGGATTGGTGGAGTTCAAGGAATTCGGAAGTGGCGATGGTCCCCTCCCCCAGTACTAAAAGTTCTTCCCTTTTCTCTCCCCTCAACAATTTCTGCACAACTGAACACGTGCAAGGCTTAGAAACTAATAAGAAGGCTATTATTTAGAATTGTGTGTCTGATTCTAATCTTGTGAAATGCAATACACAAGCATCCACACTGGTGTTACCCCAATGTTCTTTGAATACCTTTAGACCATGAATAACAATCTGGCATTTGAGTCTGCAGGTAGGGGTCCATTGTTTGTAAGGGCAGCGTGGGTCACAGGAGCAGAGCTGAAAAGAGAATATAGCCCCAATTTAACATAACAACACATAGGAGTGGCTGTAATGTAGAATGATTTAAAGTGCCTCATTAAGAATATATAATGGGGAGGGTGTTAAACGATTTAAAGACTGTTTTGTTAGATCTCATAAAGTCAAACAGTTTGTGTAGGCTGCTTTTCAAATGTGTAAATATCCAGCATGTCTCTTCATGCCCCTTATTAAATGATGGGTTTGCTCCTATGTCTGGCTGGGTCTCTCTCAACTCTTGCAAAACAAATATATGTTTTTAATGACGTGCAAAGTGGGGTAACAACACAACATACTGGTAATTTGGTCTCAGTTGCTCTGAAGCATAATACTATCATGCATTAAATCACAATAGATAATTTTGGTAGTGCAATGATTAGGACTGTAAATCACAACTATTATGACAATTGATTTAGTTGGGCGATTGTTTGTTCAATTCGATGTTTAGATCCTGAAAAGTCAGTGAATATGGGAGAACATCTTCATAGAGAGGGTTTATTATACACTGGGTTATTAGTTTAAAATACTGTTTAAGCCTGTATAGGATTTTAAAAAACGATTAAGGGATTTACTAAATTAGCTCTCATATAGATTACCAGCACTTGTGATTGATCAAACTTGTTTATTTGGTAGCCACAGCTGCCCTGGGATAACTATATGAATGTGTGCCATCAGCCCTCTCCAATGCACAGTGGGACACTATATGCGCAGGTGGCACCAGGAAATGAATTGTAGACTTATGGGGGTGGTGGAAATGAGCCACAGCCACCTCGAGAAATAAACTATAGTGAAGAGTAAAAAGAAAACCAAGAGCTGTTTCATTTCATATAATTTGTGAATAGTGTTTGTGTAGTACTTTTCTGACATAGAACATGCTTTTCTTGTTTTTTAAAGCAACAATGTACCTGCCCATGTGACTTTCCTCCTGGCATCAAAGTTTAGTTAAAGACATGGATTTAACTAATTTGAATATGTAAACCATGAAAAAAGTCAAGAGCACAGTCAGAAGATTGTTGTTGCATAGAATCGTATGTGGTATAGCGCTCATGAAGTCTCGTTTTGTCTTTGTAAAATATCATTATGCTGAAGCAGACATATCTTCTTTGTGGACATTAGTCGTGACAAGTGCATAATGGCTGCAGTGACATCATCTCCTGGTGACAAAAGCCATGGATGGCCAGATAGCTGACAGTATGGAACAAATCTTGTTTGAACAGCACTTCCCTCCGTGTATCTCTGTGTCAGTGGCTTTTATTACGTGCATGGCTGCGCCTCATCCCTGCCTGTCCAGGCCTGGACTGGTGCTGGCCTGGTCCTGGCCAGGCTGCGAGAGGACCGTGGAAATGAAAGGGTAGATTCATCCGGACTCCCTTCTTCCCTCTCCTCCGCTTCCTCTGTTCATTGTGGTCCGGATACTGGGTCTATTGATGGAGAGTTGTACACATTGTATCCACAGAACACAATATAGAAAGGGAAAGACTTCTGTGCACGTTGGCACTGATGCTTTGGTGGTACATCTATAATTGATCACTGAGGAAAGCGGATATCCTTCTGCATTTTCCTCAGCGGAGATGAACGATGTTGTGTGTGATAGCAGTGCAATACTATCATGTAGCATGCACTTCAGAGAGTAGTGTCTGCCCTGGATCTGTTCTGTTAAGTTAGAAAAGTATTTGTCTTAAGTACTGAGAAGAGTAGTGAAGAGGATTTTTTTGCTTAGGTTTTTTGATTGGCAGGTCTACAGCCATTGCCAAGGCAGTAAATTCACGTCTGAAGCAGAGGTTTGGCTTTGAAGAATGCTTTGGGGTGGATTTGCTTGTTGTTTAAGCTAGAGGTATATTTTAAAGTCTGTGGTGTCTTTGGTCATGAATATATTAGCAATATATGTTTCAGCTTTTGTTTTTATCACTCCATGTGGATGCAAAAGTTGCTGTAGTTATCATAGTGTTATTCCCTCTGGACCTGGGTGTACTGCACTGTGTCTATAGAAGATTAGTTCTGAAAAGCCCTTTGTGTTAGTGTTTTTTTTAACCTTTTAATTCTGACACGTTCCTGTGGAGAAAAGCAACACGGGTTCAAATAACAACGCAGCCTTCCCACTGTTGTCCCGACACTTGTGTTGTTCAACAATTGTCTACAAACGCAACAAAATGTAAATCTGTTTTTATAGTAAATGGCATTAAAGCCACATCCTCATGGTGGATATAAAAGCATCTTTCCTTCAAGTAGAACATGTCTAAACTGCGGGAATTGCCTTGACTGGTGAACACTAGTAACCATATTGTAGACTGACATAATCATTAGATTGATCTCACTTTACTGGAAGTGGGAGAAGAATCCATCTTACGGTAAACATTAACCTTTGATTAATGACATCTGCAATTGTGAGTTGTCGGTATAATATCAATTCTGAATCTAATATTTACCATTTACAGTTCAATGTCCAACCAGGTATTGATATATATGTAAAAATATAATAATAATACATTTTAATTTGAAATCACCCAAGGACACTGTACAAACAGTGCAATTAAAAACATTAGCTTTAATAAAAACAGAAAACTACAAAACTAGATGTAGGTCATGTGGGGAAAGAAAGACTGAAAGGGTGAGTTTAGAGTCTGGATTTGGACAGGGGAAAAGGGTCATTGCTGGTCAGGGGGTCAGGGGGGAATGAGTTCTAGAGCTGGGGAGCAGAGCAGCTGAATTCTCTACCCCCCATGGGGACGAGTCAGGAAAAACATGTATTGTGCAGGTTCGAAACAAATAAATAAAAATGTATCTGTATGCATGTGCCCACAGAAGTTACCACACCCTATGACTTGCCATGATGTTAATGAGGGTTGTAAATCCCACCCTCCATACGTCCTTTTATTCTGGGGAGACTCTAGGTGTAGTTGTTGGTTGAAGAGGTAGGAGGTGCTGCTGGCTCCTGGGTTCATCCCTGAAGGCGGCCTGATATGCCAGACTCTCTAATCCTGTGCTGAGTGTTGCAATGTAAATCCGCTGTATATGTCTGGCACAGGTCAAATAGACAAATCGTCATAATTAATTAGGCATCCAAGAGCCTCTCTGACTAACCAATCGTCATGCTTCTTCTCCCAGATGTTGCATAATGGAGCTCGGAACAAGGCGTCGATAAGACTGCGTTCTCTTTGTCTGCACCTCCTGCACCAAATGTGTGCTTTTGGCATTTAGTGATACGCACGTTTACAATGTGACAAGAAAGATGTCAAGATTACTGATGTCACCGCCAAACGACACAAGGCAATTTTATTTGTGTCGCACAGTGAACTCAAGGGAACTCAAAGTGCTGAACAAATCAAGAAAAGAAAACGAGATATTATAAATATTCACAGTACATTATAGAGAATGAAGAGACAATCCTTCAGTTGTACGCACAGCTAAACAGAACGGTAGAAGCCTGTCTCACATTTTCAGGAAGACTGTTCCAGATTATAGATGCATAAATCTGCCTCCCCATGTTTAGTCTTGCTACCTGTCCTCAAATACACCGTGATAACCAATGATTTTATAGAATGAACCTGAATGATGAGTGAAGTGACTTTTTTAAGTGTAAGTAAGTAGTAGTAAGTAATCTTTATTTTAAATACCGCCTTTTCACTGCAGATCTGAGTCTCAAAGCGGTTTACAATTGTTAATTTTGGGCATTTGTCTCTCACTCCACACAGAGACGGGAGCGGGGTCGCCAGTACAGGAGGCGCATGCCAGACATGCCTATTGGACATATTTTTAGTGGTAGGGGAAACCGGAGTACCCGGAGGAAACCTACACAGACACGGGGAGAACATGCAAACTCCACTCAGAAAGTCCCTGGTCCGACCGGGATTCGAACCCAGGACCTTCTAAGTGTGGTTTGAAGTGAAACCAGCACATTCATATTTTTGTCACATAAATAATGTTGATGGTGGTAAAGCTGCACTAACTGACTTTATTTTTGTATTCATTACAAAAATGCTATCCATGTCCGTGTAGGGCATTGGGATATACGTCCTTTTGACGAAAAAGTAGCGCAGATTTGTGCTGGCGTGACATTATATTTTAGATCGAGTTTTGATGAAACAAGGAAGAGAATGTGTTTCGGGTCGCAGATTGTGACCAATCACCGCGGACCACTGGCCCCCACTTTTGTGAGAAATCTACAGGTCTCCGTTAGCATAGACAGCTGCGTTAGCACAACAAGACGAGGAGCTA